TTTTAAGCAGTCAAATACTCTAAACGTATGTTGATTCTAAATGTGGAGGGGATAAAACCGCAAGACCCGGCGAAAAATCTACGCGACCACGGAGAGAAGAACATGCAAACTCCAAATATGCAGCAGGCGTCAGAATCGGGGTCGAAACCACGACCTCCCGGGAGACCAAGCGAGGTAGTTCACATCTCGCCGCTGGGGCAAGTATTTGGCCTACTCCTCCACGCTGGTCAGACGTTATTGAAAGAGGAGGTGGTACTCGCACCTTACCCCACCACGTGCAACCTTTAATTCGACTAACTCTGGGTGAACACAGGCGGGGGGGGGGGGGGGGTTATATTTAAAAAACAAGTAAACCCGTAAAAACAAAGGTTTTCACTATAAATCCTTTATATGCGTGGCATCGGGGCGGCTAGAGTCCTCTCGTCCTCTGGCTTGAGATGGCTGCCACCTATGGGTCAGATTAAACAATTGGTAATAAAAAAAATTCCCTAACAGTGTAAAATTTTGGATTTTTTTTTCACGAAAATGCATTGTCACGCACAACGAGTCTGTGTGCAAAATGTCAGCTCGATTGGGTCACGGGAAGTGGGTTAAAAAACGACCGAAAGATTTGCACGGTCCTAAGCAAGCAAGCGAACTTAATATAAAGGATTTAAAAACTCTCAATCGTTTCACTTATCGCGCCAGGAGACCGACTCTGACCGGCGACCTCTGTGTCGCGACTCCATTGTGCTACCAATTACACGAGCAACTAAGAGAGCAGCATGTCATACATCAGGTTAAGTGTCTGGGCGTACGATACGGTGTGTTTGTGCAAGGATCGGGTGTGTGCGTGCGGAAGAGGGGGAGGGAAGAACCGGGGTGGAGGTGGGTGCCCTGGGGGTAAAGACACTTAAATCCGGCCGTGACTGTGACTGTTGTTCCATCCCACATCTAGCGCCCCAAACACCACACACCCCTCGATAGCGTCCCGAACACCACACTGCAAACCCCTCTAACGCACCAAACACCACACACCCCTCGACAGCGCAGCTAACACCACACACACCAAGTGCACCAAACACTACACACACCTCTAGCACACCAAACACCACTTTGCCTTCCAACTCGCAGGGACATGCTGCCATTGGGGGGTCCCCTAGGCTAACAACTGCGGTATGAGACGCTTCGTGGCGGTATGGCAGCGATGTAAATCCCAGTATTATTATCACTTGCGTACCTTGGGCGTGTCCGTTCGTCCCTGCCTCCAGCCAACCAGAGGGGCAACACATTTTTTTGTAATTAACATAATTGTAAAATGTACAGCAACGTGTCAATCCACTGCTGGATGAAGAGGCCCCTTCCACTGTGCGGTGCGAGGCGTGGGATGTGAAGCAAGCCAGGAACCCGGCTCAACGCAATGGGATGTCGGTGACGTCGCCACTGGCACCCAGACAGACAGGAATTGACTCAGGTTGTCTAGCCACACCACTTTATTTATATATACGTACAAAGATATGAGTAGATATGAGTATCGTTATTAAACACGGAAGAGAACGGGAGAAAGAAAGAAAAACAACCCATCGATGCCGAAAATAAAAGTAGGAGAGTCCGTCATTATTTGCCCACCCGCCCGTAAATAGGTGGTGGCCTTGTTCAATGTAGGAAGGAACTTGAGAAGGTGGTAGAGAACGCGGCTTTTTGTTTTCTTTGAGTTGGCTTTCATTCCAGCGGCGAAAAACATCGCCGATGAATTTTGACACCGGGTGAGTCAACACGGATTGAGCATCTGGCGTCGCCGCGAGACCACGCGTGCGCGGGTTAATGTGCGTGCAGAGTGGCGCGCCACGTCTGTGCGTGCGTGACACATGTGCCACGGGGGAGACAAAGGCGGACGGGCGTGGTTCTGAACAGCCACCTCCGCGTGTGCTGTGCCGGCCTTCGCTGGGCGCTCGCTAACGGCACTTGCCCCAACAGACCGTCAAGGCTACACGGGGGGGATCTTCGTATTTGTATGCGCAAGTAACACGGTTGGGTATTCACATGTTAATTAAGTCACTGCACGCGCTCCGCGCACCTGATAATTGGTAATTACGGAAAGTTGTAGCGTGGGGGAGGGGAGGGGAGTCACGTGGACTCGAGATGCTGTCGACGATTGTAAGACTGACGTTAAAGACCTTGTTATGACATATGTTGTGTAATTATACGCGAGCAGTCGCGGGTTTTATAGTGCGGGTAAATATGGAAGTATTAACATAATCCCCAATTAAATCTCAACGAACTATTTCTCACGAGCAGGGGAGAAAGAGCTGTATATAGTAACTCCCCGGTTAACGTCGAGGATACGTTCCTGAAATGTGCGACGAATATCGAAACGACGTAAATCAAAGCATTTTTTTCTCTCTCCGAATCTCCAAAATCTGCTTCTTCCACGTGTTTGTCCCACTCACGTGGGGGGGGGGGGGGGGGGTCCGCTGTCCTTGCCAACCAACCTTCTCCACGCTGCCCTGTCCTGCGCCATCTATCTTTCCGCTCCTCGGGTCACCGTGTCCCATCGCACCACATCGCCCCACCTCTTCTTCTGTTGCCTTCCTCTTGATCTCTTTCATTCCACTTGCATCACTTGCACCATCTGATCCACATCATGTTTCTGTTGTCTCTCCGCATGACCGCACCACACCAGCCCTTTCTCTCTCATCTTCTCTGTAATTTCTACCACCTTGAGTCTTCCTCTCACTTCTTCATTTCTCACCCCCTGTCCCTTCCTTGTTAAACCCAACATCCACCGCAACAGCCTCATCTCTGTGACTGCCATAGCTTGGTCCCCACTTTTTCTTGTGCCCCAGCACTCGGCCCCATATAACAGCACCGGCCTCACCACCGTCCTACACACTTTTACGTTCAACCAAACTGGGACCCCGTCTCGTCGCACATCGCACCGGTCAAATCTCCAAAAATACCGTCCTCAAATAATATGGTGCACTCTGCAGTCCAGTACATATGTTCATGCGCGAAGGCATCGTAGTGGAAGGCGAAGGCTGAGGCGACAGAAACGAGTACAGGACGATTTCGATTTAAAGCTTTCGTGACTGCAGGGATTCATCTTCTTGGTTCTTTCGGTAAAGTCACGTAGAATGGAACTAATAAAATAATACAAAATAAAAACATAATAAAATAATTCTCACTAAAAATAAAATAAAAACATAATAAAATAATTCTCACGAATAAATAATAAAATAATTCTCACGAATTATTTTATATTATGTAATAAAATAATTCTCAAGAATTATTTTATTATGTTTTTATTTTATTTTTTATTATCTTATTTTTTCCATTCTACGTGACTTTACCGAAAGAACCAGGAAGACGAGCACAGGACGGTTGCTGTCAGCGACGTAAGTGTGGGTCGAGGCGACGTAAATCACGTAGCGATACTAATAAAGTGACGACGTCTTTACGACACGACGTAAATGGAAGAGACGTACATCTGGTTATGATTGTGTGTGTATATATTTCTTTCATTATACATCTACGAGCAACTTTCTGAGCCGTGGCCACACCACGGGAAGGACAGTAGAGTCGATGACCTCCGATTCGCACGGTTAGCTACGTACGGTTGCGAAAGAAGTTCGACATACAGACATGCAAGGATGCAACGCATGGAAAACGAGAAATAGAAGAAGAAGAAAAAAACGGGCCAGCGAAGAGAGACGACAAAGAATTGGATGTAATAGGAAACTAATGGAAAGGGAACGAAACATTTGGAGCAAAGGATCAGGAAAGACGAGGAAGAGGGAGGCAGCGGCGACGTCAGGGCCACGTCGCTGCACAGATCAGCTCACGTGTTGTCACAGGCTGCCTGACGGACGCTGTGGGCTCAGGTTCCAAGGGGGACAGGATATGGCAGTCAATCATTGGATCATTGAAGCTATCTGTGTGGAGCTTGGAGGGTTACCCTCAAGTATGCGTGGGTTTACTGCGGGTTTTGTGTGTTTTTTTTCTCACGTGCACAACGCTCATGGTGTTCATCTTCTTGGTTCTTTCGGTAAAGTCACGTAGAAGGGAAGTAATACAATAATAATATGACTTCCCTTCTACGTGACTTTACCGAAAGAACCAAAAAGAAGAATCCCTGCAGTCACGAAAGCTTTAAATCGAAAAAAAAGCTCATGGCGTTGTTAACAAATCCCGATCAAGGAATCTGCAGACTCGATGATGTTTTATGATCACGTTAGTTAAGGGTGGCGCCACTGTAGTTGTTATATGCGCTGTTCCGTGCAGTCAGAGCGCATTAAGTTGTGAAAAGGGCGCAGTGTTACCACCTGTAGGTAAACTTCGATAGAACTCCCTTGCTGTGCTGTAGACACATTTGACACCCACCTCCAGCGCACCAAACTGCACACACACCTCGAGCGCACTAACACGGCGCACGCATCTCAGTGACTGGCTGTCCGGGCGGTCTCGTGTTGTTTGTCGCATTCAAATCGAGGCTACAGAGGACGGGCTGTGAGTTTGATGTGGTTAGCGAGCGTCCTTTGCGCCACTCCACTTCGCGACAGATGCATTCTGTCTGTGCTGTGTAGCCGGCGCTGCTGTAAGGTGCGAATACGCGTTGCACAAGCGCGTTCTAACGCAGGAGGAGGGATGGTAGAGACGCCGGCTCCAACGCTGCTGATAATGCCACGGGCGCTCCTCCCCTGCACCGTCTCCCGCTTTCACCTTTGATCACACTCGCAAATTCGAATCGCGCAGGAGAGCGCCGCGCTATCGGGGACGCAAATTGGACGACGGACGCGCAATGTTTACCGACGATTTAGCTCGGGAAAATGGTGAACTCGTGCAAATAAAACCGGTATCAATTATTCAGGGTACAGCATTAGTCCTTTCTCGTAAATAGTGCGCGCGGCGCGAGCGCGTGTGTGGTGCGGTTAGCACGGCCTCATCTTCCTTTCATCTCCTATCCCCTCCCACTCTCCTCTCTCGCCCTCCCCCCCCCTCTCCCTGCTCTCCCCTCGCATCACGCCTCTTCACGAGAATGACGCCCGTCACGTCTGGGAGCGCCTGGCGCACACAAGGATGCAATGCGCGGCTCGTGACATAAATTGCTTTCAACGCGCGCACTTAAGGAAGCTTTCCTGAGACTCCTGCCCAAGGTAAGCCCACGTGCTGTATCTACACACGACCATCAGCTGCATTTTAAAAATATATATGAAAACTTATTACGTGTTTCCTTTTCGCGGGGGTTCGACAGGGGCAACCCCATAGTTGATATCGAGAGCTTTAGCCAATGACGTTTGGTATAACCCGGCGGTACTCGTTTTAACAGTCTGCGCCTGCTGATGAGACCCAGAAGGTCGAAACCGGCCGAGAGTTTGCTTGTTGAAACAAATACAAATGGACAATACGGGTGTGCAGAGTCAACAGGCTGATGGGATAAAAGACACATTTATTTGTACGTGGAGATGCATCGTACTCTGTTGCACTCGCCTGTGCAGTGGCGCAGACGCGCTCGGCACAAAACTCTGGAAGATCGATTGATATGTCGCCAAAGGTGTTTGATCTCATGTGATAGTTGTAAAAGGCAAGACACTTGCGACTGTGCCCTTTAGGGTTCATCAGCCGACCGGAGCCGGTCGTGCAACTGCCAAACGTGGTCTGACCAGAATCTGGACGTTGTAGACCAAGAGCCCGACATGCTGTATGAAAGTTACACCCTTGCACGCACGTGTTGATATAGTTCGTGGTGGTGGTGGTGGTCGCAGGGGCGGCGGTGGTGGTGATCGTGGGAGTCGTAATTGATGGCAGTGATGGTGACAATGATTGTGGGGGCGGTGGTGGTAATGATGCTGGTGGTGATAATGTTTGTGATGATTATGGTTGAAGCGCGAATGGCTGTGGTGATAGTAAATGGGCGTGGTATGAATAGCGCCGGTGGCGGTATCGACAGTTGTGATGGCAGAGAGAGTAGCGGTGTTGTTGCTTTAGTCCTGCTGTTGATTGAAACGTGGCGGGGGATGGTCATGGCAGTGGTATTGAAGACGCTGTTAATGGCAATAGTGACAGAACGATAATGACGCATGCAATAGCACGATCATCCTCGTTGCCTTTAACCCGCTTCATCGTCCCACTCCCAAGCGGCGAATGACTTGATTCACTGCTGTTGGGTGGGTGGTATACATTTGCAAGCGTTCAGCGCGAAATCGAAAGCAGTGTAAAACATTCGGTTGACCAAAGCACTCTGAGTGAAGCCAATCGACCCCCGCGTCGAGATCGACTCCCGTTTAGTTCGTGCCGCGTGTAAAGAAACGGCCTCACTGACCCGTCCGCGGAGCGTCGGTGGAATTATTAAAATCACTCAGCGACGATCGCCAGCTTGCAGAGTCTGCCGTGGCACCACGACACTTTGCGGCAGTCGGTCACGACCGCCCCTTACGCAGGCTGCATTTCAGACGCGTCGGCGGCATGCAACGTGCACTTGAATGCGCGCCGCGTGAATGCTTCACACGATGCCCTCACGTGCACATGGTCTTGTACACGCTGTGTGATATGCGGGGGGAGCGGTGGCGCAGTGGTGACCGCACTGCGATGTGACGCCACAGTTTGATTGCTGACCACGTGGCAACGTGAGTGGCGAGTGACTTCTAAACCGACCCTGGGCTTACCCTCTACCCGTTTACTAACTCGCACCGACCAGCGGGGTAAAGTATGGTCGAGCAACTCCCATGTCTGACACGCAGTGGGGAGGGTCCTTCATCCAGCAGTGGATTGGCAAAGGGCTGAAACGTGTAAATATGACACCGCTGTTGTTGTGTCAAGATCGAACCATTTCGTTCGTCAAAGTTACGCGTTAAGGATACGGGAAATACTCGACACGGCCAAAACAACATTGGGTTGCTTTACGAAGTCAATTTTCGATGGAATGTTGGCGAAATTGTGTGACGAAGATGCCAAAGTGATGTGCTTCGGCCCTTTCGACAAGATGTGAATACGACAGACTGATGGAAATGCGAACAATGTCCTCGAAGGTTTTGAAAGCCCACCGTGACTGAGTGAGCAATTGTTGTGCAATCTAAACAACGTACGAACCCATATTCTTGGTTCTTTCGGTAAAGACCGCTTGTGTTGCGATCGAAACGTCGTGGAATTTTTTGCTTTTATCATTTTCAATTTTTTTTTCTATCCACGTGACTTTACCGAAAGAACCAAGAATATAAATTCCTGCAGTCACGAAAGTTTGAAGTCAAAATTTAACGTCCGAACCCCATAATCATTCAACCGAGGAATTCGCCTCGTGTAGAGTTTGACGAGGAAGCCAATAGAGGGCTGAACCTATATATTTACAAATACAAAGATCCCCTGTATAGCCTCAACAGACTGTTGGGGCAAGTACTGTTAGAAAGTACCTAATGTATGTCAAACACATACGCACGCCTGCTAATACTACATTGATTCGGCCAGCGACGAGCGCGCTACATGCTAACACATCAATGTCCGTCATTGCAATAAGTACATCTACGACTGTGAATCTGTCATTAACATATGAGTGTGTTACTTTTTCTGAATATGTAATTGAAACAAGATGCACTTACTAATTCACGCATTATCCTTCGTTGCACAACGGTGTATACATGCGCGTATGTATTGACGTTAACAATTACAACGCGATAACTCACAACTCACTTATTTCCCACAGTTCACCCCACGACCCCTTAATCTCCCCCGTCATAACCGCCACCGTTAATTTTCCCTCTTCATAGTCTCATTATCTGGCTTTCACTCATTAACCCAATGTATTCAATCCATTCATCATCATTTACCGTCATCGATGTCGCTTTCCACCAAATTTACGCATCATCTCAGATTCGCCCCCATCGCTTCAACTCATCTATTGCATGCACCTCATTACCACCGTTACATTCACACACATTGAACCGTTGTTGATTCCTTGTATAACGCCTTCGTTAAGTACATCTTAACGAAGGCGTGTGAAATACACGCGTATCTCTGTTATCCGTCATTGCAGCACGACAAATACACGTGCGATTGCCCCCTCCGCCCCGCCCCCTGTAATTTCAACACGATGCATATTTGATAATTTCGTTTTGTCCGTGGCTGTAAACTCGAAGTGTCGATGCATCGCATTCCTTCTTGCGCCACCGTGCGCGTGCACGCGCGGGATGCTCGATTCGTCATCACACCGCGAAACGGAACGAAGCGTCCACATCCATCACCTCGCGTCCGCCACTGCAGCACGGCAAAGTGGGCGCGTCTCTTGTGTCCGTCATTGCAACTCCTGAGTCGATTGTTCCCTTCCCCCAGCCTGCCACCGCGACTCGGGGTGCCGTGCAGGACAGGGGTGGGCTGGCGTGTGTCCACGTCCCTGTGCAGCCTGCCTCGACTGTCTTCGCTGTCATCACGCCGATGACGAGAAGGTTGGCGTTTCAGAACATCGCAGTCGCCCTTACGGCACATGGAGTAAACCTTCGATGATGGAATTATAACACTACAACACCGACTCTCTCTCCCGCTCTGTCATGAAGCCTTCTCGTGGATAACAGAGCTCGATATTGACACCTCCGATTACATTATCACGGTTGGCCACATACATGCGCGTGGCTTGTCAACACATTTCTGGTGCCATACTCAACACTAGAATAGACCTTACGTCGAGCGCAGTGATGCGGATGATGGTGGTGGTGGATGATGATGATGATGCTGTTGTTATAACCATAATCAACCACATTGAATTGTAAAAGAGCATCGCGTGTGTGCAAACAAATTTGTCAAAAGCGCTCACTGCGAGAAATGTCCGTTTGAAGTGGTCGTATTAATTAGAAGCGGTCGTGTGTGCTTTGCAAACAGCGACACAGATCCATCTTAAGCAAGATGTAGTCGGGAAAGAGAGATGCTAGAATTACTACGGAACGTTTAAGCCCTGCCAGTGGCATACGTACGACGTGCGTGTACGTTTGACACGGGTTCTATAAAGGATGTTAGAGACTGCTGTTTTATTTTAAGCTGCGATTTTTTTTTGTACGTGCTCACATTTAGAGCGCTTCGCCACACTCCACTGCTGAATGAAGGCCTCCTTCTGCATCGCGTAGATCATGGAAATTGCTTGATCCACGCGTCATCGCGCTGGCCAGTGCGGGTTAAGTGAATGGGGGAGACCCGGACCCCGGTTCGGATATCACTCGCACACGCACGCTAGCCGTGACCGTCAGACGAACTCTGGTGGCATCCCGGGTTCATCGTATAGCGCAGTGCGCTAACCACCGCGTTATTGCTCGACCCCGTCCGTAATACCACAACGACATACAATTTAACTCAAACGTGGACAATGGCTGTGTGTTTAACAGGACCCGAATCACGTATTCGCGGTTGTCCTTTTTGTCCATCGGATGTTTTTTTGTTTGTTGTGAACGCACACGCACGCCGCGCCTCCCATCACCATCGCACGCACATCGATGCGCTTTTTAGGCCGTTTCGTCAAGGTGTGAGCACGGTCCTTCCTTTGTATTCAAGAACCCTCCACCGAGCCTGAATACTCGTTTTGCAGGAGGGGTCCTCCTACATTGGGATGTATTGCCAATTGCACAGGGACGCGGGGGGGGGGGGTTACACTCAAAGCTCCGCACCAAAATAATCAATAATCCATCGCCGTGCTGCCATCTCGCGGCTGTCTCGCAGCCCTAACGCCACCACTCATGATATTCCCAGGCGGCTTCCCATAGCAACACGACCCAGGCTCAAGCCTCTTCAACCGCCAATATCTTTCAAGATGGGTCGCATTCTGGGCGATTTGGTCGTAGGTTATTCTCATCTCGGGCTCGCCCACAACAATCTAAACGGTAAATCCGCGGTGTTGTTGTTGTTTGTGTTTTAGATTTCCCGACAGCAGAGCACGAGCACCGTGATGATGGGAGGCGGACGATGCCACGGGGACCCTTTCACTCCGCTCCACAGCTGACCTGCGTGCGCACCGCCAGGAAGCTTTTCTTTAACGACAAATCACTGGCTTCCAGGAGAAAAGACGTCGGGATAGATCACAGCATCACGCTGAGAAGAAGAAGGAGATTCGTAGAGCGAGTGTGAGCATCGACAAGCTCGCACGCGCAGGATCGATCACCATCACCATCATCATCTCCACTCTCATCGACTGCATAACCACTCTCATCGTCGCAATTATCTCTATTCTCATCACTAACATCTACATCATCATTGCCATCAGTTTCACCACCACCACCACCACTTGTATCATCATCATCATCTATGTTACCATCACCACCACCAAGACGACTTTCATCCCTACACGTGCTGGTGCTGTAACCATCACTACGCGCGTTGCTCTCCCAACGAGGACAACAACAACAACAAAGTCAACAAAGTCAAGGCTCGTGGCTCCACTCGCCACCCATCTGTCACAATGTCCTGCATGGTCGGCATCCCCCAGTCGAGCGGCTTCTTTCGCCACTTCACCAAGGAGTCCGTGGCCAGGATCGAGGAGCAGATCGCCTGGGAAAAGGAGCGCAAGGCAGACAAAGATTCCACCGTGGTGATTGAGAAGGTGAAACCGCTCAATTTCTTGGAGGCGGACAGGACCATGCCATTTGTGTATGGAGAGGTTCCGCCGAAGATGATCTCGGAGCCGCTCGAGGACCTGGACCCCTACTACAGGAACAAGATGGTACGTTCCATTGCAATATGCATCGATAGCAAGAGAGCACGTTTTGAGGTTCGGGTGACTGCTGTTAAAATAATAATAATAATACGACTACTACGAGTGATATCAATTCCACTGCTGGGTGAAGGCCTTCCCATGCTGTGTTGACCACTGGACTTTGTTCGTCATACTTCACCACGCTGGTCGGTATTGGTTGCTGATAGTGCTGCCAATGGCGGTATAGACGTCACTCGCAATTGATGTTAGCAGTGGCTCGGAATCAAAAGTGCAGTGCTGTTAGCTAGCGCCTCTTAAGGGAGAGTGTGTGATTCATTCCAGCCACCGGCGTCGGTTTGGTGATCGACTGCTGATTGAGCATTATGGTGCTAATTGAATATTTTGGGTCAGATTGACCATGCGAAGTCCATGCAAGCTTCAGTGACAGTGACACATTTTCCATTACAATGATGAACATGCTCAGGTATTGAACTCATTGGCTGCCTCGGTGGAACAGGAACACTGCGTCATACTGCTGCTTGTTGAATCCAGAGGTCAATATTTTCCGGGGGTTACTGGCAGTCACGGGTGGTATACTTGACGCAGTGTGCCGGGTGTATACATATATCCGGGTTGTTGACCCGAACAGACCTGAACATAAGCCCTGATTGTACAAGTGTACAGCAAATACAATTATCCCCAGTCTCTGTTGTTAACGAGCCTCTGTTATGGCTGGAATGTAAATAATAGGTGCTCGCTAACAGCTAGGGACGTCTCTGTCAGCCTTCAAATACGGACTGGACCCGGGGCGATATATAAACATCACCGCTGGGGAGACAAAGGCGACCGGACGTGATGCTGGCCATCCAACCTCTCGAAGCGGCCTCCATAGCTGCTCGCTAACAGCACTTACCCCGGCAGTCTGTTAAATACTGCAACATGGGATCTTTGTCTTTGTGCCACGTGACGTAGATTTGAAATTGCAATCCTTTACATTTAAATCAGCGTGCTCTGAAGTGCCGTGGGGCGTGTTTACAAACCATCGGGCACGTGGAGCTTGCAACGACTTTATTTGTATTTAATTGAATTCATGGGATGGGAAACACATATGGAAAGGCGACAGGAGCGGGTCGCGAGGACTGCGGTTCGTGGAATCCCGAACTGCGCACGCATACGAGCAGCAGGCAAATTCCAGTTTCATGCCCTTTTGGACTCCGAGGAAGTTGAGTAGGTGCAGCAGGTAAAATTGGAGGCAGTAAAGTAAAAACAGTGGTGCAATAGCAGCAGCAGGAGTAGGCAGCAGCAAGTGGAAGCAGCAGCGGCAGTGGCAGCAGCAGCAGGCTGACACTGATCGGAATCTGTGCCCTTCGCCCATGTGTTGCACCTTCCATAAGTGCTGCTTCGTAAATTAAACATTGCGCTCAGAATAAATTAGTTTTTAGTTTAGTTAAGTTTAGTTTATTTTGTTGCATCCTTCTCCCAATTACCTTGCTTTTTTAGCTGTCAGCTTGATGTTGATTTTGTGTGGAAAAAAATATATTTGCGACTCTCGCAGAAAGCAGTGCATCACCCAGTGTTAGACAACGGTCCTGGAAGATGACCTCACAAAACTACTTCTGAGGTTCCTTTAATCGCCTCTTATCCACAATAGGGGCGTTGCGCATTCTCACGTGCCCGGCTATAGATGTGTTCAAGTCTCATGTCAATCAAACCAAACTCGATTGTGCTTAAAGCAAGAAAATGCTTGATTAAGCATCGTCGATAAAATGCGTTTGGAGTATTTGGCTGCTATAAATGTACACGTGATGAGCCATTTCGTTGAGCTATCATTTATGGCCAGGTCGCTTCTGAAACAAGGCAATATAGCTCAGTGAGTCTTACCTGGTAAAATAAAACATAGTTTAGTATAGGTTTATAGCACTCTTTGGTTCTTTCGGTAAAGCCACATCGGTAGAAAAATAAAATATAAGTGATATATTATTTTTTATTTTATTTTTCTACCTACGTGACTTTACCGAAAGAACCAAAGAGTATGGATTCCTGCAGTCACGAAAGATTCAAATCAAGATTATAGGTTTAGTATTCTGATGTTTTTTCTGCAGTCATCGGTGACCAGGGTGAGACCAATCACTTGTTACACATGAGAGTCCCATTAAATCACTGCCTGCTGAAACCCCAATTTAACCCCAGGACCTCGGCATCTTTGACACGGTCATTATGAAACCCTTGAGCCACACAATTCGTACTCCATTCGTGTGGTGTCACTACTTTAAATATATTCCACCAGGCCTGGAGTGACTACTTGACCAATGTGATCCAGCTTGTGTTTATGATAGTAAAGTACACTATTAATGATTGTTATTCAACCAGGAAAGCCTGAGAGTTGCAATACTTTTTTCGTCAAGTTGGTCCGTGTCTTGGGATTTTCGGAGAAAACCAGAGTTATCAGAGAAAGCCTGAAGTATAAAGAGGTAACACTCAATGCTCTGCAAAAATAGATTGAATGCACAGAGACACCCAATATATTCAATAGAGATGGACTGAGCTCATTGCTGAATTGTCATCTCCTAGCCTAACCCAAGCCTACAACGCTATGTAATTCAAGTTAATCTCCAATTCAAGTCGCAAGACGGCTGAGTCGTGTTGCGCTTATGAGATCTGAAGATTCAGAGTGGATATTCAGGGCGATTTTTTCTTAGTTGTCATCATTAATTATCTATCCACTGCTGGATTAATTCCTCCTGAAACCATCACTTTCGCACGGTCCTGTGATGCAACAATCCATTTAGCGCCCGCACACGATCAGATTTCACCACTCCATATCTTGCGAGTTTCCCTCCGTTTGGTCTCCGAGGCAGCGTGCGAGAAATGGGTCCATATTATGTCGCTCAACATTTGCCGGTAACAAATATTGATCTTCGACACATGCAGGGACAGGCTTGCTGGAAGCAGATGGGGGAGGTTGTGGTTTTTTTTTGCTTTCTAATGTAAGTAATTCCTCGTTTAACGCGGTAGATGCGTTCCTCAAAAGCTTTGCATTAAGCGAAAACAATTTGCCCATAATTAACGAAACGATAAAGTTTGGCGAGATACGATGTATGCACACACAGTGAGATGGCGGGACAAATAACTCAGGTTTTCAGCCTCGTTACTGTATAATTCTGCGTATCTCAAGGAAGTAGTTCACCGTCGATCACTCAGAAATCACATTATGACGGGTGCGTTCCGCGTTGTAGCGGGCGCGTTCCACAATGTGAGAAAAGTGTTCCCTCGTGTAAGAACCGGGTTATGGCAAAAAAAAATCGTGCTGTGGGGACACGCGTTCAGCGAGAACTTCCCTAATTTTGGGCAGGTGTAATGGGTTTAATAATAACAATACAGATCATTCTTGTCACGGGTGACGGCAGTGACACATTGTTCTGGGCGTCGTAACGCGAACGCACGTGGCACTCGCGCGCCTCGGGGCGGTCTCGGTAAACAAGCCCACGGCTCGTGGCTACGAAACACAATGGGGAGCCAACATAAAGGACACGTGGTACGAATAGCAGAAGCAGCAGCCACAGCAGCGGCAGTGTCTCAAATGCCAGACGTGGCTCATACCTCGAGGCGTGCATGCTTTCCAGTTTCACAAACAAAAACGCGTGCGGTGATGCGTGGTTTATTTGTACTTAAAAATGGAGAACGTCGGTAAACGGGAAACGTAAATAAGAGAAAATAATAAACATTGAGTTTTGAGTTGCAGGTCAGTTTTAAATTCAAGGTCAAAAGGTCATCGCTGTCAGTGCCATCGATGTCACCATTCCTTGCCATCGCCCCCTTCCTTCTCCCAGGTCGCACAATTGTTGCAAAGGTGACATCCGACCTCCAAAATCTGCTCTTAGGGTATCATAATCATCATCGTCACCACCACAATCTGACTTTTTGTTCTTCTCTGTGCTATGTAGGTGGCACATCATTCAAGGACCACTCTTACAGTCCAATCATTGCCACCGTATGGCTTTAAGTCTTCATATTTAACAGTCGACACGTTCTTAGATGGATACTGTTAGTTGTATCACCACCACCAAGTCATGAATGCATGTCTCGATATCCTGCCCACCTCCATCTTACACGTCTCCTTCCCATTGCAGCACAATCTCATCTACCTGTTTACACCTATAACATTCACTTGATAGTCCGCATCCAGTATTTCGATGTATTTGTTAAATATCCTGTCGATTGTAGTGGCGTAGCGTGCTTGCTGTGGGCCCAGGTGTGAAATGAATTAATCTGGGCGCCCTCCTCAATTATCTCACCTCTTCGTAGCCCGGCGCCTAGGCCCCTCCAGACCATGGGCCCCCGTGCAGTTGCACCGCCTGCACCCTTGAGAGCTGCCCCATTCCTAACAATGGTTTCGTAGGACCTTCACGAACGTAAATGCACTTTTTTGCATGGAGGGCAGGCCACGATGCGAGGGGGGTGGGGGTTGCGATGGGGGGCTTAAATTCACATGATTGGTAACTTTCGATTTAAAACTTTCGTGACTGCAGGGATTCATCTTCTTGGTTCTTTCGGTAAAGTCACGTAGAATGTAAAAAAAAAAAGCATAATAATAATTATGTTTCATTTTTATTATTTTACTATTTCCATTATACGTGACTTTACCGAAAGAACCAAGAAGATGATTGGTAACGTCGCATTTGGGATATTCAATTTTATTGATAACGAGACACCAGTAGTGGATTATTGAACCTTCAACTTAAACTGGGGCTTCATGGCCTGGTGAATAACACTCCCTGGTTCTGTTTACCTAAAGTCTGTTTGGCCCCAGGCCTATGTGCACGTGGGTGCCAGGCTTGAATGTCTCACACGACACTGAACATACATGAGAAGCTCTCCAGCCGCTCAACATCTCAGTTCGGCCCATGTATCTATAACATGCATGGGGACATGCTACGTCATATGTTGTTATTTTCTTCGTGGGTTTTGCTATCAAATGGAGCAATTCATTTGTATTGAGAGGAATGCAAAAAGTGACTGGAACACAGCCCAGAAAAGGCGATCGTTGTTGATCGGACACGTGATCAAGAGTTTTCAAAGGTGAACGCTTGTTGATGGAAACTGGAAGGACGGATGTTGGGAAAGAGACCATGAGGCAGATAAACAAAAATTCTGCTTTATGAAGGGGCCCGGGTGGGGTCAGGAGGCAGGTGACAGGATGGGAGGGGGGGGTGTAAAGATCAGTGGATGGGGCACGTTTCACCCAAGGACCTGCCCAAGAGAGAGAGAGATCTTGCGTCACATGAATATTGAACAACCTTGATGTCCATCAGCCAGATTCTGAAGCAGAATTTCTTGAGCAGAATTTGGCAAATGCAGGCAAACCTTGACCTGGTTTCATCAGCACCGCGTGGTTGTGAGACATTGGACCATAAGGCCCTTCGGTTCATGGGCCGAAATATTTTTTTATTTTTTTTATTTTGGCGATGAAACAAATCCTGCTGTGTTTACAATGTCGTTACCCAAAGGCTATCAAGAGAGTGATTTTAATGATATAGTTTACAGCCCATCACAGCACATCTGGGTCATGGGGGTTACTTGACCATATGTCACCATGCGTTAGCATATTAGGCTGATATAAATGTATACGTGATAAGCCACTTGGTTGAGCTATCATTTGTGGCCAGTTCGCTTCTGAAAAGACCTCCATAGCTCAATGGGCCTTACCTGGTAAAATAAGTATAACCCGTAAAAACAAAGTTTTTCACTATAAATCCTTTATATGCGTGGCGGCTCGAGTCCTCTCGTCCTCTGGCTTGAGATGGCTGCCACCTATGGGTCAGATTATTGCATTGCACCATTAAGCAATTGGTAATTAAATATAATATTTTTGTCTTAAAAAGTGTAAAATTTATGAAAAAAAAATGTCACGAACATTAATTGTCACGCACAACGAGTCTGTGTGGAAAATGTCAGCTCGATTGGATCACGGGAAATGGGTTAAAAAACGACCGAAAGATTTGCACGGTCCTAAGCAAGCAAGCGAACTTAATATAAAGGATTAAATAATAAGTATAACCCGTAAAAACAAAGTTTTTCACTATAAATCCTTTATATGCGTGGCGGCTAGAGTCCTCTCATCCTCTGGCTTGAGATGGCTGCCACCTATTGGTCAGATGATTGTCTGCCAGTATTAAGCAATTGGTAATTAAATATTTAATTTGTTTTCCCTAAACAGTGTAAAATTTTGGAATTTTTTTTTTCACGAACATTAATTGTCTCGCACAACGAGTCTGTGTGCAAAATGTCAGGTCGATTGGATCACGGGAAGTGGGTTAAAAAACGACCGAAAGATTTGCACGGTCGTAAGCAAGCAAGCAAGCACGCAAGTACGCAAGCAAGCAAGCAAGCGAACTTAATATAAAGGATTTAAAATATAAAACGACCGAAAGATTTGCACGGTCGTAAGCAAGCAAGCAAGCACGCAAGCACGCAAGCAAGCAAGCAAGCGAACTTAATATAAAGGATTTAAAAAAATAGATCAGCATCACCGGATAGTGTGATCAATTCACCGAACTGGTTTGGCCGGAACACAGCACTGGGTCGACGACATCATTATCATCAATCACCATGATAACCGCACGTTCCCTTTGCGTTCCAATTATCAATTAGTCAACCTGCATATATCACCCGAGACTTGAAACCCCAAGGCAAAGTTGTCCCCCCCCACCACCCAAAACTGTTGTCACGCACCACGACCATCAGCTGTGTAACAAATCAAATACAAGACGTCTCCTTCACATGCCCGTCTCTCCACGTAAAACAAACGTAATTAAATGCATGTATTGTCAAAGCAGGTTTGTTTGCATGGTTAACCGCACGCATATGTGGTTAAGACAGACTTGGTGCCTTGCCATAGGTGTCGATTTGGTATTTGAACAATATTTCCGGAAAAGGTAAAGTCTGTTCCTGTTTTCATCGTCTTGGTACTGGCAAAAAGGAACCCATAGATGATAATAGGGTTGTCCCCTTTCTTCTGGCAACAAAACAGGTGTTAAGATGTTAAAACACCAAACTGAAACCTTTTACAAGGAATCATGTTTCAAGGACAATGCATATATTATCAGTGTGTTTTTTGTTTGCATTCTGACCACAAGCATTGTGGTTAATGCAGACATGATTCCTTGTAAAAGGTTTCCGTTCGGTGTTAACACCTGTTTTGTTGCCAGAAAAAAGGGGAAAACCTATTATCTTATTTTGGTATTGGCAAAGGAGGTCCCATGATGTTGAACCCATTGATGTTTTTTTACACAAACTATCCGCCGCACGGCCTTCTGGGAGTGCATGTCATTGGCATTTATGCAATAAAAGCAAAACTTTGGATACGCTTCTACACACAGTGTGCCATAAGCATTTCGGGACAGGCTTCCTTGAATCAATGCTGGCGAACTGCTGATATTAAAGGAAAGGAACTCTCTCTACGCTATGTGGTCCTAGTTCAACGCAGAATAATAGTGCCATATATAACTAGAAATGATCGTTAGCGTCATTGTGGAAAATGTAAATAAAATTAACAAGCAGCAAATGTCTCTTTGAACTGTATGGATAGACGTCACCACGTGATTTCAGGAGCACCTATGTCATCCAACAACTGAAACCGGTTACGTGAGTGTGCCGTACGGTTTTATAGGATACACTGGCTATCCACTGGCTATATAGTGTATCCAATGACAGTATCAAGTTTATGATTAACTCATGCAAATACAACACATTTTACCCGTTCTCTATCCAACAATGGAGGGGCACGTGACATTTCACCAATCCTGTTTTTATCACCGACAATCTACAACTTGTGGTTGAAATCGGAGCACCACACTGTTGAACGTTCCTTGTGAGCCCTGGCATAGCTGAGATCCTGGGATTGAATCTGAGTAATTAAACCTGGTTCATAAGTTCAGTGAGTTGATGTTATCAGCCCGATCATCAATGACTGCACAAAAACGTAACGAAAACCGAATTATATTAAATTTGGATGTTCATTTAGTTCAGAATGTGTCTGACTATGAAGATTACACAAATGTTGGCTCATCATATTGAGGACACCTTTTAAAGCAGAGCACGTGAGAAGGTATAGCACCGTAAGGCAATTAAATACATTGAACTCTGTTCCAAACGTTTAAAATATATTTTACTCAAATCTCCACATAGAAGTTTAAGATGTTCCAGTCCATCAGCCTATGGGCTTCCCAGACCAACGATATCCAGCAGCATTTGTTTAAACAAAGAAACAAACGCTTGCCTGGTTTTCACCTTTTTTGGTTCTCATCAGCAGATTGAAGCTTGCTCAACAAATCCTGCTGGATTGCCAGATGTTCCGTGTGAACCGATTACCGCTATAGACTTGCCATGCTCAGAGTCGTGGGATGCTTTGGTTATTGAGATGATTAATCACCGCTAATTGTTGTAACCGTCTGCTCCATGCTGTGGAGCGCAGCTGTGCCTAATGTCACTGTTATCTGCTTCTCTTGCAGACGTTTTTGGTTCTCAACAAAGGCAAGACCATCTTCAGGTTTAATGCGTGCAAGGCGCTTTGTCTCTTCACAGTGTTCAACCCCATTAGGAGAATATCTATCAAGATCCTCACTCACTCATATCCTCTTTTGCTGAAGGCCGACGATCGCTATTGCATTTGCAAAGACGCTTTGTGTGTGTGGATCGCCGTGCCACGCATTCGTTTGACACCTACCCGTATCTTCTCACAGGTAAAGCATATAACAACACACGTGCGTCTTCTGACCCAGGATGGTTTTTTTTTCCTCCCGAAATTGTTCGTCCAAGAAATATCTGCGTAAGAGTAATTTGCTTAAGGATCGTTATTGATATGTGGCATTTTACAGGGATTGTGGTTTTGCTCCTTCACCCAGCAGTGGATAGTCTGTGTAAGAGTAATTTGCTTAGGGGTCGTTATTGAAATGTGACATTTTACAGGGATTGTGGTTTTGCTCCCTCATCCAGCAGTGGATAGATCCAGCGCTGGCGAGGTCTTCGTCGAGCAGTGCGTAGGCAAGATCACGGCTGCTGGTGACGAGCATCTTCTTGGTTCTTTCGGTAAAGTCACGTAGAAGGAAAATAATAAAATAATAAAAAGAAAACATAATAAAATAATTCTCACGACGTTTCGGCCACGACGGCTGCTTGCGTTGTGGCCAAAACGTCGTGAGAATTATTTTATTAAGTTTTATTTTTATTATTTTATTATTTTCCTTCTACGTGACTTTACCGAAAGAACCAAGAAGATGAATCCCTGCAGTCACGAAAGCTTTAAATCGAAAAATGGTGACGAGCAGTCCGTTTTTGACACTCACATACCCTGTTGGATATGTGTAACATCGCCGGGTTAAGAGACATCACACAAATCCTCTGCCAGAGCTACAGCGATCGGGAGTAACGTTAAAATGACAAGTTAAATTGACTGGGAGAAGATACCCATTAATCGGCCCAAGGAATCGTGTGTAGAAGAAGAAAAAAAGCACCGTAGTATTTAAACGTAATATTCCAACTGCAAACTATCACTGGTCTGCCAAGCACCCAAATGTTCCATGAAGCATCCGGTCACAAGTACCAACACCAGTTGCACACGGCGTGCCACTTATTTACCCTCGCCGATTTGCACGAAGCTCAAATGGCATTGCTCTTGCGCGGTCTGCCTTGTCCACTGCAGTCGCCTGCTATAGGCAGCGTGCTGCTGCTGTGGGCTGTGTTGGTTCGAGGCACACAGATGTCGTGTGCCGTGTTTGTTGTGTGAAAAAACCACCGCCGCCTTCAATCCTTAGCTCCGTCCATACATTATTCACCATCCTCATTATGGCGACCATTCTGACCAACTGTGTCTTCATGGCTATCAATACGGAGCTGAAGGTTGTGGAGTAAGTACTTGTGTGGTGGTGTGTCGGTGGATGTGCATGCTTCTGTGATTGTCTATGAGTGTGTCCTGCTGCAGAATTGCATGCCTATCAATCCCTTATCGGTGCCTACTTTATTACAGACCCGTTCCCTTATAAATCTCAACGTTCATCCAAAAAAATCCAATAACAAGGGAGAAACACAAACAAATATATTTTTGCTCAATTTCCCTGTACAAGAATACGACTAAACCGTATGGGTTGACAGGTATGGAATTGCGTGTGAACCCATAACACCCAGGTCTGTCCCGTGACCTCATGCCAGCGAGCCTTTGACACTTCACGTGCCCTCAAGGAGCACTTAGACTGGCACTAGCGCCGTGGTGTCGTCACCACCATTTAGCGGCGAATGGCGGTAGTTGCTGTTGTGTTCGTGCACGATTCTGTGTGTATCATTGTGTTGTTGTTGTGCGTGTTATCGAGCGCGTGATTTCTGGTGTATGGCGTGCGTTGGTGTGTAAGTGTTGCTAGGGAGCGGTGGTGCAGCGGTTAGCGCGCTGCGCTACGAACCCGGCGACCCGAGTTCGATTCTCGCTCACGGCCAACACCAGTGACGATTATCTGAACCGGTCCTGGGCCCTCCCATAGGTCGACTCAGCCTCAAATGAGTAATGTGTGTAAACAGCGTCACTAGGGAGACAAATGCGACCGGGCGTGGTGCTGGCAACCCATCCTCTCGTGTGCCGTGCCGGCCTTCATAGGTGCTCGCTAACAGCACTTGCCCCAACAGTCTGTTAAGGGGGATCGTTGTCTTTGAGTGGTGCTGGTCACCCACCCACCGGCTGGAACACGAACGGGCGTTAAAGGCTCCATTGGGAATCCCCGGTGTCTTGGTTTCTTGAAGCGTGTATGCGATTGCGTGCTTTTGTGCGTCTGATTGTGTGGACGTGTAAACACGCGTCTCTCCCTGTTGTCGGTGGTTCCCAGTTGATGTTCCACTTTTTTTGTACAGCCTCTTAAGATGCAGCTATACTCAGATGTGATATATATGTATACACAGTTGATCATCGATTATAAACCGGCTGTCCCGGGCCAATCCGGCGAAACTGGCAAAAACGCTCCAAAGGTTGTTTACCAGTCCGGCGATTGGCACCGTGTAGCGTGGCAAAAACAAATATTCTATACAGTACATTATACACTACATACAACTTAAATACTGAAAATACTGCACGTGTATCCAGTGCGATACGGCGAAAAGTGCGTGCAAGCACCGGTCTAAAGGCTGCGTCAGTCCGGCGATCGTCAAATACAAGTTATTGAAACAAGAGCGTTGTAAGTAGTGCTAGTATCAGTAGTGTTTTGTCTATTTGTATATTTATTTATGCCAATTAGCACAGTAAACACATTTAAAACAGTGAAAAAAACATGTACACAACACCCGAAGACGTAATGTCATGTAAATGTTTTGCCACAAAAACCTTTTGAATGATTATGGGATTATCCGGCCTTTTTTTCCGGAGCTCCGTCACCCCCCGAAATACACAATGATCTACAGTACAGTACTGAGATTTTTCATCCGTGCACCACGGCGAATGTATATTTTTATAACAACAAAACTGCGCAAATGCAACACACTCTTACCCTCACGACGCTGTGGAAAAAGTCCCAGTCACGCAGATCGACTCCGGGTGACGCACCACCGACGAGCACGGTTGGCTACGCGGGGTGCGAAAGAAATTCAAACATGCGTAGCACACGTACAGACGACGCTCATGATGAACAGGTGCCGCTACGGTGTATCACCGCAGTCTGCAGAGCGCCATACAGATGCATTTAGTGGAGAGGAGCGTACAGTACTCTCAAGACATCTGGCCAGCGCAGAAGAGTCGAACCAAACTTTATTTATTTACTTTACCGGGTAAGGCTCACTGAGCAAAATAGTTTTTTTTCAGAAGCGACCTGGCCACAAATGACAGCTCAACGAAGTGGCTTATCACGTGGAAATTTACAGCAGCCAAATTCTCGAAATACATGTTTCTAAATGTGGAGGGAAAGACTGGAGGGCCTGGAAAAAAATGTACGCGACCACGGGGAGAACATGCAAACTCAATATATACTGGCGCCAGGGTCGCGATCAAACCCACGACCTCTTGTATACCAGGCAAGGTAGTTAACATCTCGCCACCGTGGCACCCCCAAAGTACTTTCTGGGGGTGTTCTCTAGAGCTCTCTCCAGCGGAGGCCCTTCCGCCAGCAGTGTCATGAGCAAGCCGTCGCAGGGCTGCACCTTTACCTGTTACCGAGCCAGTGTGGGGTCAGGTTCAGGGCTAAGGTGACGTGTGACAGGAAGGCTTGACCCGTGACTTGAAGCGTTGACCGTGACCTCGAAGCGACGGGGGGGGGGGGGGAGTGAAAGCCTGTGTCCGTGACGCATGCCGTGGGGCGCTGCAGGTATGTGTTCACCGCCATCTACATGTTCGAGGCTCTGGTCAAGATTCTGGCTCGAGGCTTCTTCTTCGGGGCCTTCACCTACCTGAGGGACCCGTGGAACTGGCTGGACTTGGCCGTACTTGTCATCGCGTGAGTGGTCACCGCCTGCATTGCCCTTCTCAAAGCTTGAGCTTGTTTTTTAGTCGGATTTTGTTCGTCCGTTTCCACAGTTCTGTCTCAATTCTGCTTTCGATGTCGTGAAACAAAAGTGTCCATTCGGGAGTCTCGCGTACAAATGCATCGTTTTAGATAACTTCTCGCGGGAGCAGATGTCGCAGAACTACTTACGAGATTCGTCTTGTCACCTTTTCAGCCAGATGCTCGGGGTCCCATGTTCCCACATGCCTTGCTACAAACATGTGTCACATGGCAGTCCAACCGATTAGAAAAAAAAGTATGCATTTATTTTAGAGCTGAAATGTATCCAAAATGAAATGTAAAACCGAGGCAATACATTTTAGTATGGTTACATTGAACATAACCGGCCAGGCGATTCAGCTGTAGAGCGAGTTCAAATTCTGGTCGGGGCATGACTCAGCCCATTATCCATCTGGGGTCGACAGAATGAGTATCACTTTGTGGGGATATCGATGCTGGCTGAGCTATGGAGATGAAGTGTGATTTCCGCCACTGGTTCAGGGTTGTAAACGGGAGATGAGAACCACATCAATGTCCATTTGAGCGCGGGACATGACTTTGCATTTTTGACATTGACTTGCTTACCTTTCCTATACTTTGCATTGTGTGTTGTTTGTAACGTTCTGACCCGCCCCAACTGGATACCTGTGAAAAAAAACGTTATAACTCATCGGATTCCCCCAGTATAAATATATATTCTGAATTCGCCTCCAACTTTCGAAGTCACTTAAGCATCCCGCCACCCCGCGTCCATTGTTGACATGGTAAGTTTGCCCGTGATCCCCCGTGTCATAGTAAACCTGAATTTGAGTTTTGCCTCGAGTGTTTCCCATCCTGCGGACGGAGAGAAAGAGAGTGCCCAAGGCCGAGTCCGGGATAGAATTACTTTGCTCAGTGCGTGCACTGGGAAAAAAAAAAGTAAGCACTGCGTTTCAATTAAGTGAGTTTCGAGTGACAAAATTGGACACCGTTTCAAAATATCACGATGGACTGTGACAGATACTTGTATTTTAAGTCTCCTGACTCCCGTCCCCCTACCCCACTCCGTAATGCCTCTTCAGATGTTTTACCAGCATACCAGGTTTCGCAAATCTGTCAGCACTGCGGATGTTCCGAGTGATGAGGGCGTTGAAAACCATTTCCGTGGTTCCAGGTCTGTTTGTGTTCCCTCCACATCACACATTTTCGGCTCGGGCGAGAATCATCCACACATGCACGTGTATAGATGCAAAGACACAGATCTCCCATATAGCCTCGCTAAGATTGACTCAGCCTTAAAATGGGTATCTGGTGTGATGTGTAAACGTCAACATCAGGGACACAAAGGCGGCCGGGCCTGGTACTGGCCACACCACCTCCTCGTGTGCCGTAGCAGCCTTTTCGTAGGTGCTCGCTAACATAACTTGCCCCAAGAGCCTATGGAATGCTATACGGGGATCTTTGTCTGTAGGACGGGCTGCCCTTTTGTAATGTTATATATATACATGCATTTTACGCCATTGGATGAGAAGACATGGGTAGACTGTTAAAACCAAAGCGCGTTCGGATGAACCCCACTTAGCGAGAGAGTGACCTCCGTGCCGTTGGTACCGCAGGCCTGAAGACGATCGTCCGAGCGCTCATCCAGTCGGTGAAGAAGCTCTCAGACGTCACCATCCTCACCTTGTTCTGCCTCAGCATCTTCGCGCTGATCGCCCTGCAGCTCTTCAAGGGCAATCTGAAGAACAAGTGCGTCCGCTGGCCAATTCCGGGCAACTTCAATTTCATTAACATCTCAGAGTACCTGGAGGACAAAGGTAGGAGGACGTTGCTTCTGATTTATCGATTTACCCAATTGTTTTTATTTGAGTGGCTGGTTTGGTTGGTTGCACGATGGACAGGGATGGCAGGGGATGTGTTGAGTTGTTGCCACGACGCGATGCCATGAATTGTCAAGATTATTTGGGCCGTAATATGATTTACGAATGGATTATTTCGTGCTTGTATGATTTGTACAGTTTAATTTGCATGATCTATTTAGTGTGCTCTGTCGTGCTCCATTAACCCTCAAGGTAACTTTGGCATATAACTTTCATTCATTGTAATTATTCGACTGTGAGGCACATGATTCCATGCGTTTATTATGAGCGTAAGTTTCAATTAATTGGAGTCACGATGGAATTCTTGAATTTATTAATTTCTTATCTCGCGGGCATTGCCTTTCTTGCTGTCTCATTTGGTCCATCATCCTAAAGGAGACATTTTTTGCGGTTTGCGTGTCTAGTTTTCATCAACAAATAACATACAACATTAATGCAAATCAGAAATAATGTATTCCTACAGACACTATTAAATGCACTTATCATAAGCTGAAGAATGCATTATAGTTATTGAATCGGTCAATAATTTCTTCCCTAAGTGTATGTGAGTGATCAGTGTGGATGCTGCCAAGTCAGTTGAGTCAAAGTTTTGATTCCTGCAGACACAAAGTATATTGTCATTAAGTTGGGTGTGGAATGATTACCTGGATTGCTTAATGTGGGCAGAGTGCATGTTAAAGACTCTGTGTTGACATCATTTACGAGAGTCACACATTTTGTGCTGGTTTAACGGCCAAAATGACAAATGTATATTTCACAATTGTATAGTGATTCATTTGTAGCAATGTGTCGGTTCACTGCTGGATGAAGGCCTCCCCACGCCGTGTCAGTTACAACAAGTAGTTTGATTCTACTTTTCCACGCCGGTCGGTGTGGGTCGTTGGAGGGGCCTAGGACTGGTTGAATTATCACTAGCCAATGATGAGGATCGAACTCAGTGCGTTAAGCGCTGCACCACCGCTCCAACCCGCGAACCACAATTATACAAACTGAAAATAATAACTCTCTCCGGGTAATTACAGTTATTCTTTTCGAACAATACACGCTAAACCTAAACTAGATTCACACATGGCTAAATTAAGCAATGTAAGTATTATATTTCATGCCACTCGCCAATTTGGAAACCCTATAAGTGCTGCCACTTTCGAGCCGTCGCACTAACAAGACTCGTTATGCTCTTTGGCTCTTTCGGTAAAGTCACGTAGGTATAAAATAAGATAAATTAAATCACGACGTTTCGGGCACAACACAAGCGTCCGTCATCAGGTGGGACAACCACAGCAAGAAACAATTGCTGAAGTGGGCAAAAGGGCTGCTGTAAGAGAAGGCTGGAAGGATGTTATTAAGCAGGTAAAACCTTAACTGCTTCATGGACGCTGTCTTTCCGACAGACCTGTTCTTCACCTGCGGACGGCTGCTTGCGTTGTGGCCGAAACGTCGTGAGAATTGTATTTTACTATGTTTTATTTTTATTATTTTATTATTTCCCTTCTACGTGACTTTACCGAAAGAACCAAGAAGATGCTTCATGGTGTTAATTATACAATGAAATAAATTCAATCACGACGTTTTGGGCGCAACACAAGCGTCCGTCATCAGGTGGGACAACCACAGCAAGAAACAATTGCTGAAGTGGGCAAAAGGGCTGCTGTAATAGGAGGCTATATAGGTCGGAAGGATGTTATTAACCAGGTAAAACCTGATCTGCATCATGGTGTTGCCTTCATTTTCCCGCATCTCCAGCTTATTCAGCTTCCCACTCCCAGCCCCGCTCACTTCAGCCCCCCCTCTCTATCTATCTCCCCACCCCCTCTCTATCTCTCCCCCCTTGCTCCTCCCCCCTCTCTTACCTATATAGCCTCCTGTTACAGCAGCACTTTTGCCCACTTCAGCACTCCCCTCCCTCTCTATCCCCCCCCTCCTCTCTATCTCTCCCCCCTTGCTCCTCCCCCCCTCTCTTACCTATATAGCCTCCTGTTACAGCAGCCTTTTTGCCCACTTCAGCAATTGTTTCTTGCTGTGGTTGTCCCACCTGATGACGGACGCTTGTGTTGCGCCCGAAACGTCGTGATTTAATTCATTTTATTTTATACCTACGTGACTTTACCGAAAGAACCAAAGAGTACGGATCCCTGCAGTCACGAAAACTTCAAATCAAGACTCATTATGATATCAAAGAGGGGCTTGATATTTTCTTCGGAACTAAATGGCTCGTGAGCAGAGCTGGGCAAATCGGATGTGGCAGCAGCCAACCGTTGGTGGCAATCCGCATTTAACCGGGGCAGCTGCTGCCATCGTTAAAGTTTTATCGTCAATATTCCAGGAAAGCGCAAACGCAGCTGTAATGGGACGTGGCTCGGAAACCGAACACTACAAACAGGATTATCATTCTCCTGCGTCAGCGCACGGTTGAGCGAGTAGTCTGTGGGGTCGTGAAGGAAACAATAGCACTGAATTTAATTACATTCTACGAAGCGATTACGCAATGATATATCTTGCCACGGTATCTAAACTTTATGTGAAGAAGAGTTCGTTTGTTTGGGGTTCTGTTGCATCAATTTTTTTACGGAGCTGATCAGCTGCTGCTTATTGCCACGCCTGGCACATATCATGTGTCTGTCTGGTGGTACACTACAAGTTTTCACGAAAATTGCAAAACCCTTAAACCAGTTGATATGAAACTTACACACGGCTCACTAATCCCATTGCCCGTAAGAACATACTTTTTAAGCATGATTGCCAGTTTAATGCTGGGCTTCTCAGCTAAATACTGTACTTTCAAAAAGCCAATAGCTGAAATGAAATGGTACAACTTTCCTGCACTTAGTTGAATTATTCAAATATTGTGCAATCTTCCCACGTAATATTAAGATGAAAAAACACCTTAGTTCCTTTTGTGTTTCAGCGCAATTGCACCCGACTGAGCCATTTGCACAACTAATTAGATAGCTGTGCAATATTCCTGAAGGATCCTGTACTCGTCCTCTGCTATATTGATAGTTTTGTCTTGTGTTACTGTTGCTGCCGTGCTCACACGCACCACGGACCTCTCTTGTAAAATAATCAGGCAATTGCCTCAATGGGGATCATCCACGTAACAAATCAAATAAAGTTAACCAAACTGATGATCAATGAAACTGAATCACGAGTGTCTAATAGAGTAGAGGCTGGGTCCGCCTGTATTCTATTCTAAGAGGGGTAAGGTAAGGCAAGTGTTACAAAAAGTTTCCAATTTCTTACTGCTGACGTTGGTCGTGACTCAATAAAATAATGAGCATATGTGTGTTTTATGTCATTCTGCCTTGCTGTAGCAAAGCCAGTGATATCATGTGAAACTTTACCTGGAAGAGTTTCAGCATCTCTCAACCCTTCTTATTTTATTTCCACAGAAAATTACTACTTCCACAAGAATGTGCCACTACTCTGTTCAAACTCATCGGAAAATAAGTACGAACCTCCATCACTCCTCGCTTGCTATTCATCATATGTGCATGCTATACGGTGTGTGTAATTAATAATGATGGATTTCAAATAGAAGTGGCTTTAATTTTTTCTATTTTATTTCCTCCGAATATCCTCTTGCAAAATGTTTAAAATATCCGAGTCAGCACCGTTCAGCCTCTGGAAGAAAAAAAACAATATAGGTACGCTGATGGACACCAAAAAACAATGTTGCCATTGTATTGGCCAAGAGGTCTTTATCATCGCGATGGCAGTATCGTTTTCACGGGAATCTAGTAGTGAATTTGGCGACGGTGCGAGATGTATCATTCTCCTGCGTCTCGTGGCCCTTACTCAGAAGCACCCGACCTCACGTGTGAGCCTGTGGTGGGCTGGCCTTGTGCACGTTGTTGCCACAGCTATACCTGTGCTACCAGGTCACCTGCATGCGTGGCATGTGCCTGTGAACTGATAAAATTAACATTTTAAGGTATTCGTCAATCCACTGCTGGATGAATGAAGTATGGTCAAGCCCCAATGCCGTGTCCTTCACCCGGTTTGTTTGACCATACGTCACCATGCTGGTCAGTGTGGGTTAATGAAATGGCATTATGGAGGTGGGGGTGCCAGGACCGGTTCAGGTATCACTTGCCACCGATGTTTTCTATGGCTGGGAATAGGCCTAAGGACTCATCCCATTTATACAGGGCCAGGTTCACATGTTCAAGAAAATGGCCTGAAACCAATTGCGGTGGTGATTTTTCTCATTGTCGCTGCTGGAAATTTTCCAAAAATGTGACGAAAAGGACCATATTCCAACAACTGAATATGGTCCTTCAGGTGATTATCATTCAATCGTTTGGATCTTTCTCTTCGCTGAGGTGGCTGAGTTTAATTGTTTCATGAACGTCACTAGGTGGCTCAGAGTGCTGAGCTGGCACGGCAGAGAACCTGAGTTCGAATCCATATTTCAGACCCCTGTGATTATTAACATCAATGACTGCACAAAAAGAAACCCAACACAATTACAATTTGGCTTTTGCACTTAATTTCGTTAAATTCCAGCTCTGAGTGACACAGCAGATGGGAAAGTGCTGCCTGCTGCTTACTATGTGGACCAGAGGTTACTTAATGAGATCTCAGAGGTATCTCTGTGGTATCCACTTTCGTGGGCCGTTCTCAAAGATGAAATGTTGCACTCCGAGAGATCCGAACGACACGACACCGATAGCACTCTTGGGATACGAACACAGTTCTACACCGAGCCAAACAATCGGGTCTTGACCGCTTTGACTTACTCTGCTGTTTGTGCTTCAGTACTTGCCCTGATGGGTACACCTGCCTCAAGGCCGGGAAAAACCCAAACTACGGCTACACCAACTACGACAATTTCGGCTGGGCTTTCCTCTCCTTGTTCCGGCTCATGACGCAGGACTACTGGGAGAACCTCTATCAGCTGGTGAGACCCAGCGTGGACACAGCCGACACAGGGAGGGGCACTAAACGAAACTACAAAACGAAACAATTTTTTATTTTATTTTACCATGTAAAGGGCCCACTGAGCTATATAGCTACATTTTCAGAAGCAACCTGGCCACTAATGATAGCTCAACGAAGTGGCTTATCATGTGGACATGTATAGCAGTCAAACAATCTAAACGTATTTTTCTAAATGTGGAGGGAAAACCCGGAGGAACTAGAGAAAATCCAATCGACCACGGAGAGAACATGCAAACCCCAAATATACAGGCATCAGGGTCAGGATCTAACCCACGACCTCCTGTATATCGGGCGAGGTAGTGAACATCTCGCCACCGAGGCGTCCACTAATGGGGCACCTCTTAATATTTGGGGGGGGGGGGGGTGTGGGGTGGAGGCTCCATATTCACACGTTCACAACCTCAGTGTAAACCTCTGCGAGTGGCAAAAACAAAGTAATGTGGTGTGGTGGTGGTGGTGGCATTGGCGATGACCTCTTTAACTTGAGTGGCTCCTCAGAGGCTGGAGTGTCTTCCCGTGGGAGAGTTGAGGGGTGGGCGGACATGGGGGTAGGGGGGAGGATGGCGAACATCAGACACGACCGTTCATTAGGTGGAAATAGACTCCCCTGGGGATATACCTGCTTTTTCCAACACAGGCCGTATTGTAGTCGTCATTCACTCACTAGTTTGTAGACGCACGTTCTGCTGTAGTTGTGTACGTGCACATGCACGCGTATAATATCAAGGAACACAGATACGACGGAGGTGCCTCGACGGTTCTTATGGTTAGCGATATCGCATGAAGGTGACAGTCAGATTCAGGCACAATTAATATTCTTAGGATTCTGTGTATGATTGTCTAAGGCTCACAAGGGCCAGACAGATTCACTTTTATGATGATGATGATTATTATAAAGGTTATTTGTTTTTATTGTTTGAGGCTCAAATAGTCAGATGCAAATAGCATCTTTATGGTCTTTATAGCTCAATATTATTTCCCTAAGTTTACAAAACCGTTACTAGGAGTAGCATCTGTGGGAAACCACGTGGTATCCACACACACACAAACACAAACACCTGTCTTCACTGGACAGTGTGCATACATGCTGTATATAACTAAGTGGCGAATGGCGGTCGTCATTGTTGTTGTTGTTGTTCTGTCTGTACATCTTGCCCACTGCTCAGACCCTGCGCGCGTCCGGCAAGGTGTACATGATATTCTTCGTGATGGTCATCTTCCTGGGCTCCTTCTACCTCATTAACCTCATCCTGGCCGTGGTAGCCAAGTCTTACGAGGAGCAGAACCTGGCCACGCAGCAGGAGGCCGAACGCAAGAAGGACGAGCTTCAGGAGATGCTGGAGCAGCTGAAGATCCAGAAGGAGGATCAGGTCGCCATGGTCTGTGCACGCATGCATGTGGACACACACGCATGCACGCGCACACACGCGCACGCACGAACTAACACGTGCACAATATTAAGATCCCCTAGTGTGGCCGACAGGAATGTTGGGGCAAGTGCTGTTAGCGAGCACCGAGTCGGTGGTGTGCTCAGCACTACACCTGGGCGCTTCTGTCTCCCCGGTGGTGGTGGTGGTGGTGGTGGTGTTTACACACCGCATTAGGTATTAATTTGAGGCTGAGTTGACTTAGGGGGAGGCCCAGCACTGTTTCAGATATTCTCCACTGATTTTTATCCGTGGAATTTAACGCAGGTCTCGGAGTTGGTATCACTGTGCAACAACCACTTCATCGCCACTAGTCGCACACGCACGCACATGTCGTGAATTCGCAAAAACACGCGCCCCTTGGCACGCTTATAATGCCCTGTTAAGGAGTCAAGCGTATCCACGTCGTAATCCGACTAATTAATAGCAACATGAAGCGATGCCCATGGGGTCAATTTGGCTGCACGTGGCAAAACCAGCCTGAAAATTGAGCGCTGAAATTACTTACACCTTATCCTATCCGAGGCCCGACGGCAATAGCATTGTTTGCAGACTTGTTTTTCTTTATGTTACACTTTGTGTATTTTGTATGGTACGTGTATAGAAATAATTTGGCACGCCTTGCCCATGATCATTCATCGCTTTCTGCCTGCTCAAGTGGCACTCATCTGCTTAGCATCATGTTCACGTATGCAGTGTTTTCATCATCAGATCAAGATAACTTGAGGATTTTTTTCGGCTCAGTGCAATTGGTCTGAGGCTCAGAGGCAGACGAAGGCTCCTTTCCAAGAATAATGAAGCACTATGATATGTTTTTGTGCTGTCTCTCTACGTTGCGTAGAAATGTCACGTGACAAGCAGTCCCAGTTTAGTACTGTCGAGTAACTCTTGGAGCGTTGGTTTGTGCATTCCAGAATTAATTTGTGATTGACAGTTCAACTAAGTTGTTATATAATTTGTATTGGTTAAAGTGACTTTCTACCTTGTTTTAATGTAATAAAAAAAACAAATTTACTTAACATTAATTATTAATCACAAACAAATATAATTACAAGATGTAAATAGCTTCGAATTCGGTCTTCACGGATAAATAAAACAGCCTGGTGTTTGAAAAGCACACGTGTGCTTTCACAGCCGCTTGAAGTCCAAGCGTGGTTGTCCAGTTGAGGCATGCATGTCCTGAAGATGCCCGGCAGCAGTCGTGTGTGGCGCAAGCTTCACAGAAGAAACTGCTCACCGCGCAGTGCAAGCGAACACTCTGCGCTCGGAATGCACCGTTCAGAGCCCAATTGGTCGACACACAGCCGCGAGGGTTATCGCCGTTCAAACCCTCACCGCTCCCGCGCACGAGCGGTCACGACGACGTAGCTTCTTGGCGTCACCGTTTATCGCTCCCCCGCGCATCGGCAGGCGACCGGTCAATCACGGAGGCCCAGCTACTGCCGGAGCCGGATGGCCTCGGACCAATCGCATGGGAGCGACACGGGCAGCGTGACGGGGGTGCTGGCGGTGCCGCGGGCTTTGGAGCGCCGTGGCACTCTGCTGCCGGAGGCCTCCGAGAACGGCAACGATCTGAGCCAGCAGCTGGGCCGCAAGGTGTACGTCCTGCACCCCGACGATCGGCAGGAGTGCGACAACGCCGGCGTGAGTGAACGCGCGCACGCCTGCTGAGGGATGGCGATGATAGTGGTGGTGGTGGTGATGGTGGCGGCGGCAGTGGCAATGGTGCTTTTGATTGACGATGATGATTTAGAAGTTGTACTGCTCTGTTGACCCAGTCACCACCCGGCACTGTGTGAAATATTGGTCGTTATCATAGTGGTGACGGTATTGGTGATGGTGGTGGTGATGTTGTTTGTCGAAATTATAATTCAGCTCCCGGCTTTGGAAGTTTCCCAAATCTTTAAGTGAATCACCAATTATACTCTTTGGTTTTTTCGGTAAAGTCACGTAGGTAAAAAATACAATAAAATAAAACAAATAAAAACAACTCAATAAATTCACGACGTTTCGGAGGCAACGCCGTTACAGCCAAAGTCGAAAAAAACAAAGAGTATGAATCCTTGCAGTCACGAAAGCTTCAAATCTAGAATCACCAATTCTTGCCTCCAAAGTGTTGGATCGCAGGTGTGCACCACTCCGCCCCGCTCAATGCCAATAGCCAAGCTACCCATTCCTGCTGCCCCGCAGACTCACAATTGTGCATGTGTGCGTGTGTGTGCATGTGTGCGTGTGTGTGTAGTCGCTGCTGTCCATAGTGATGAGTGCCACTCCGCAGCGTGTGAGCATGGGCAGCGTGTTCCGTGGCTCGGATGACTTAATGCTGAACGGGCGGCAGATCAATCGCGAGGGCGACACGGGCAGCTGCCAGGAGGTCCCCTACCAGCCGTGGCTCGAGCGCATGCCGCTGGGGAGCCGCAACAGCCAGAGCAGTGAGGGGGGGAAAACGATGGATCACCTGGCAAGTGGGGCTCTCCTCATCAGTGCTCTCTGTCAGCAGCACCTCCGCACGCTTAACTGGGGAATTCCTGGGACCTTCCTTGCCAGTATCAAAGTATTAGAATAGGTTTTACCCTTTCTGACAAGGAAACACGTGCTGAGATGTTCAGACTCCAAACAGAAAGCTTTTGCGAGGAATCATGTCTGTTTAAAGTAGAGCCGACATGAGGTTGCAGGGGGTTCCCCCGGTCCACACTTGCCCCCGCGGCCTTCTCCGTCCATTCCCTGTCAACTCTCCCCCTGCCCCCCCTCAGGCCCCTCCTATATCTCCTCGCCTGTGGCACTACAGCAGATGCCTGTGTCCTCGGTCGAACGATCCCCGGCTGAACACATCGGAGAACTCCTGCAGCAATGAGTGCAGCTAGTGCTTCTGATCGAGCGGCAAATCCGGCTCAGGCCCCGCCAACTGGTCCATCCACAGTCGTCACCTTTGTCCTCGGACTGGCTAACACGTCCCATGAGCTCTGGCCCCGTCCCTGGAGCTCCTAGTGACAAAGTAGTCACGTGGGCCAGAACCATTCCCGCCTGCACCAGTGGATGGCAATCCGTGGCGACTGGTGCTGGAGTCCGGCCGGGCTGCCACGAGGGAGGACCAATATTGCAGCGGTATAAGCATCTGGGCTGCCGGAGGAATGGAAACAGACTCACTGACCAGAGCCTGCATGTAGGGTACCCCCCGGCCGGCTCCCTCCACCTTCAGGAAATGGAGATGTGTTCCCTGGACTTTTACCCGCCTGTTGGCCAGATCGATTTTCCTCAGAAAGTCGGTCCCCAGCAGGCAGGGCACGGGCAGCGTTGCGGAGATAAGCTTTGTCTTGTTGTGCGCGGGAAGGGAGGTGTAAGAGGCGAGCGCATCGCCATCCAGAATGGATGGCAGCGCTCGTAGCGCCTCTTCGTCCGACCATTTGAGAGCATGGGAGGCAGCCTCGAATCGTCGGACGAATGCCTCCCAATCGCCTCCCTCGGCCACGAATTTCTCGACGGGCCCCAGCTGGCGTACCCGTCCTGCCACCTGCTCACCCCGTTGGGTGTTTGGCCCTGGCGGCTTTGGCAGGAGCGGCGGCAGCGGCTCACGTGACGTGGCGCCTCCTCCAGTAGCGCAATGAGTGGGAGAGGGGGTCCCAGCGCCGGCGGGCCCCCCACAGGGAGCCGACGCAGTAGCTCCTGGAGCGCCCGCTCCATGTGGGCCATGCGGCCCTCCATGGGGTCCGGGGCCCCCTGCTGCTGCTGCTCCCGTGAGCTGGTCCCCTTGTTGCCTTAACCCTGGGGGGTCTCCAGACCCTGCTTCCTCTTCCATCGGCTCTTTTCCACGGAGGTTCTTCTTTGTAGCCATTGTCGGAACCACCACTGCCACCAGATGTGAAGTAGAGCCTACACAAGGTTGCATGGGGGTTCGCCCGTTGCTTCTCCGCCAGTCTACCTTGCCTCCAGCCTTCTCGCTCCGTCCCCCGCCAGCTCTTTAGCAGCCCCCCTCAGCCCCCCTCAGCCCCCCTCAGCCCCCCTCCCATATCTGCTCGCCTGCTCCTCCCCCCACTGTTCCCACTCCACTGCCCCCCCCCCCTCCTTTTGGCGGGAATCTTTACCCCCGACATGCCTTACACAGACATGATTCCTTGCAAAAAAAGGTTTTTATTTGGTGTTTGAGCATCTTAACACCTGTTTCATGGCCAGAAAGGGTAAAACCTATTCTAATACTGGGAAATTCTTGTGAAACTTCACTGTTTAAAAAAAATCACTTTCATGTCACTGAAATAGCTGAAATTTCACTACTGGACGTCTGTGAAAAAAAACTTGATAGCTCATTGGATTTTTCGAGTATAAATAAATATTCTGATTCTGATGAAGTCCCCCCTGTCCCACTCTAAAAGACTCAATCTATCCTCACGGTGAAAATATTTGGTTCTGGTTATTAATTATTTTAAACTAGGTCAAACGAAGCTCAAAATCAATATCATAGGTCCCTATTTGATTCCCGCTGGAATTACCCCTTACATGCCCTGGTGAAATGAAAATCAATCGTGTAAGTCATGTGACTTACGCACAGATGGACAAAATTACATTTCTTAAAATGTAGATGAGTACCGTCTTTAAGACTTCCAGCTCATGTGCTCATTGTAACAGAATTTGACGTGAGTAGTTCTCTGAAAAAGTGCCATTGCTTAAAACTTGAGCTTACTATATTTGTATGTATGTTACAAGGTGATGTGAATTACACTTTTGAAGATTTTATTTTGAGCGACACTTTGTGGCAGTTTTCCTTTAAAAAGCGCAAAATTAAACTGACAAAGAAGTCGATGATGTGAGGATAGCGATAGTGGATTTTACACTCTGTGCTTGGCACACTCTTATGCTGTTTGTGTTGTTCTCCACAGGGATTTGAAGGAACCATGAGAATGAGGTCTGATTCCTTTCAGATTTCGGCAGATTTTTTGGATGATCCTATCAGCCGGGAGCGTGCGATGAGTGCAATAAGTGCCATTGAAGGTAAAATTCCTGGGGGGCTTTGCGATTTGTGGTCAGGGAGCACACATGCCATTTGCCCATCACTTAACTTTGCAAATGGCCAAAAATTTGCTGTGCAACATTTTTAAAGGATATTTTATATATTTTTCCAAATGTGCTTTGAGCATCAGGCTGTGAGACGTATAATCGAGTGGTAAATCTCTCCAGAAAGAGCATTGCCCACCGTGCATCTGAGAAGGGCTGCTGCTCAAGAGATAATTGTCATTCAACTCCCGATTGCAAATCTAGAGGCAGTCCACTGCTCTCTCGGTCACTGTCTCTGGCTGTGGTGATCAATACCACTCTCAGCCTGGCATTCACGTTGGCACAACACGGGACTCAGCACCTCGGTGACACGAGCATTATAATTCTTTGGCCCGAGTACAGAAACATTGCTTAAATCTAACCAGGAAGTGATTTGCGAAAGCCAAAAAATGTGTGCACCAGTATTCCCTCATTATTCACAAAACCTGCTTTCCGCGAATTTGGATATCTGATGCGAATGGCATCAGGAACTGCATCTCGAGAGAGAGAGAGAGAAAGTGATGGGATAAAGTGATTAGGGGAAATGTGATGCCCCGAAAGTCATGCAATAAAGTGATGATGCATAGCGTCATCATAATTTAAGGGAAGTTAATTTATAAACTATCACCTTCATATTTATTTTATGTTTATTTATTTTATGTTTATTTTATGTTTATTATAACCATTCTCATTTTGTTGTGTTATGATAATTTGTTAGCTATTTAATAGCTTAGTTTTGTATTTAAGGTCATTCATTAAAAATATTGCCTTTTGTCACCCAATGTTATCCGGAAAATATGCTATTCACGAGCATCTCTGGAACGTATCCCTCGCATAAAACGAGGGAACACTTAAACGCATAAAGCGAAGTGCCTGGTGCCTCGCAGCCGTTTCTCAGACAGAGACCCCTCGTCATTGGTTGCTGTGGTTAACACCATCACTCCATCACTCCCGCTACACCAGCCGATCGGCTGTGGTTAACACCATCACTCCCGCTACACCAGTCGATCGCCTGTGGATAACACCATCACTCCCGCTACACCAGTCGATCGGCTGTGGTTAACACCATCACTCCCGCTACACCAGTCAATCAGCTGTAGTTAACACCATCACTCCTGCTACCAGAAGTGATTGACGCATGCGTTATTGTGTGGCCCACCAAAGTTTGCCTGCACATCATATTCAGCCATCAGTAAAGAAAATGTTGCGCACCCCTGATTTAACAGAAGCACGCAAAAGTGTGGAATCCCTAGCAGTGGCAGTGACCTGACTGTGTTTGGCTTTGTGTTCAGAAGAAGAGAAGAAGACCAAGTGCCCGCCGTGCTGGGACAGATTCGTCAACAAGTTCCTCATCTGGACCTGCTGCCCGTTCTGGATGAGGGTGAAGCGGCTGGCCAAGATAGTGGTCATGGACCCCTTCTTCGACCTCTTCATCACCCTCTGCATCATCATCAACACGGTGTTCATGGCCATGGAGCACTACCCCATGAAGCCTGAATTTCAAACGATGCTGGACACCGGCAACAAGGTCAATGAGATGCGATCGCGGTGGGCGGTGGGTGGAGGGGGTCTCACAGCAGCTGTGCAGCGTTTCCACGAGCAGTAGAAATCAGACGACGTAAGCCATGTGCCGCACCACTTCCGGGACAGCTCAGCAGGGCTCGTGCCCCTTCGCCTCCCTTTCCTCTGCAATCAGAGGAAAGCAAATCTTGGTCATTTAAAACCCCCTTTTCGCGAGGTTTAACATAGGCTTGAATCAGCCGATGCTATTCCAAGCTAAAATATTTCAATGTATGGCAAATTTCAATAAGTGTTTTAAAGCTTTGACAAGTGTCGGATATATATGATTTATATGAGTTATCGGGTGGAGCAGTTGTGCAGTGGTTCACGGACGATGCTACGAACCCAGCGACCTCAGTTTGATATCCGGCCGTGCCGAACATCAGTGGCGAGTGACACCTGAACTGGTCTTGGGCACCATCATCACCAACCCACACTGACCAGCGTGGTAAAGTAGAGTAAAATACGTGGTGAAGTTTAGTAAAAAACGCGTAAAGTAGAGTAATATAACCCCATAACTGCAAGGTACCGTGATTCCTTCGTCCAAGAGTGGATTGAAAAAGGGCTATACTCTTTGATTCTTTCGGTAAAGTCACGTAGGTGAAAATAAAAATAAAATAAAAAATAAAAATTAACTACAATAATTAAATTAATTTCATTATTTTTATTTTATTTTTAATTTATTTTTTCATTTTTCGATTTAAAGCTTTCGTGACTGCAGGGATTCATCTTCTTGGTTCTTTCGGTAAAGTCACGTAGAAGGGAAGTAATAAAATAATAAAAATAAAACATAATAAAATAATTCTCACGACGTTTCGGCCACAACGCAAGCAGCCGTCCTCAGGTGAAAGCCAGGTCCGTCGAGGCGACAGAGTCTGAATGAAACAGCACACGAGCTTGGAGCATATATATATAAGCTGGGCGCATTGACAAAGGAATTTGCATATCAAGAGGGATTTAGCATATTTATGGAAAATGCAGGAATGTGATTAGTACTGCATATGCATGTGCATTATGCAGGATTAACAGCATCAAAGGGAGCTGCAGTTGCTGCTGCTGCTGCTGCAGTTGCTGCTGCTGCAGTTGCTGCTGCTGCTGCTGCAGTTGCTGCTGCTGCTGCAGTTGCTGCTGCTGCAGTTGCTGCTGCAGTTGCTGCTGCTGCAGTTGCTGCTACTGCAGTTGCTGCGTTATCCATTTTAATATAACACTATTTATTATTCTACCCACCCTAATGTGTATCACACTGCTATATATTTACTATACAATTACGACACCATACATTACTCTGCACACTGCACCATGCCAGTGAGTGGAACGCGGTCTGAAAGTCACCGTAAACGTGAACTTTACCGAAAGAACCAAAGAGTATGGATCCTTGCAGTCACGAAAACTTCAAAGCTAGAATGAAAAAGGGCTGTGCATTACGTTTCATTGTATATATTTTTCTATGAGGTATACCTCTGTGAGTCAATTGTAACAATTTGTCTTAATCTCTGATCACACATCAGGGTTCGTATTACGTCATTGAAATGTACAACAGGGACTCATACATCAAGATCACATCTTAATACACTATACAAATGCAAGCAGTGTGGGGGGGAGGGGGGTGAGGCATGTGCATCATGATGTTTCCGGGCTCTATTCTATCAGAAGCTGCACCACTGTGGGATGCCTCGCAGCAACTTGTTTGTTCCAAGTTCAATGTGGGATGTCTCAGAAAGCCGGGCCGCCTTGTTTTGGACAGCGCAGGGTTCGTGGAAGTGATTTTAAGCTGCCTCCTCCTGCTGCACTAATGCAGCCTTAATCGAATAACAGACCCAGGATGGGTTTAATGGGAACACATTAAGACCATTACCACCCACGGCGGGTTCTGTAAGCCGTGGGCAGGTGTCATGCCGTGGTATGACGGGCACACGGAGCCGTTAAACTTGGCTGTGTTTCATCGCGAGGTGCGAGTCGAACTATCTGATGCGGTTACTGCCGGCGCACACAGCTGTGGCCATTGTTGACGTTTTCCATGGGCTGACAATTACCGCGGTCTGCACCGGCCTCCAAAAAAACTATTACAATTGTGGCAACATCGTCATCATCATCATCATCAACAGCATCATCAACAGCTGCTGCGTGTGAGAGAGCAATTCACCCGGCCAGACAGGCTTAGCCCCTTCATCTGAAATTCAGTCAACATCCACAGTGGTTAATGCTTCTTTAACACGGGACTTCAAAAGCCCTCGACCGCTAATTCCAGAAGCGAGGTGGAAAAAAAAAGTTGGGCGGCACATTTCATATCCCGGTTTAATATAACCGTCATCATTATCATCATCGTCGTCGTCATCATTGTGGTCGTCACCGTCGTCATCAATTGCACCTCTGTTTAACTTATCATTTAAGTTGAATAATAACAATACTTTGAGCCCTTTGTCAATCTTTTGATGGATGAAGGCTTCCTCATGCGGTGTTGGTGATGGGGGATTGTTTGACCATATTTCATCACACTGGATGGTGTGGGTTGGTAAAGGTTGAGTCCAGGGCTGGTACAGATGTCACTCGCCTCTGATGTTGGCCATGGTAGGGAATCAAACTCAGGTTGCGGGGTTCTGAGTGTAGTGCCCTCCACGACTCTCACCACCAATCCACCTCGACTTGTTATTGACACGTTATATACTCTCGCATCTTGCTCTCGACTTTGTTGTAAAAAATATGACGTCATGTCACAATATTGTGGACATTCGTTAATGGAGTCACAGAGTTGAGCAATATATCAAATAATAATCACAATATTAAATGTATATTTTGTTATGTTTGTTTTCCGGGTGGAACAATTCATCCTTCCTCCCCTCTCCAATGATTCAATGAATTTTCGCGATTCAGGGTCATGATTTTATTATTTTTGCAACATGGTGGTGAATGGTAGCAGCCTAAGTTGGCTGCAGGGGTCACACAACATAAAATAAAACAATAAAAAGGTATTTTATTTTTACACGAGCACCTTTATTTGTATAGTGTCTGTCAACAGTAGAAAGTGCTGTGTGAGCAGGGCCTAATTTCTTACTATATATATTCCAGATTGCTGGTAGTCTGGAGTACGTGACATGTGACTCGTGGACATTGGGTTAGGTATTCTAGATGTGGTGTGCCGGATGTAGAAATATTTTCCGGTTCGCCGTTCCTGACAGACGTGACTGAAATTACTCCCCGATACACGGGGAATAACCTCAACGATACGTTGACAAATCTAAAAGAGTTGTTCCCTCTCCCTACCATTGTCTCCACCATACACCCCCCCCAACCCCCCAACATCCTCCTCCTGATCTCGCTGCGCTGCCATCTGAAGCTCTTCACCGCGATATTCGCTGCGGAGATGGTGCTGAAGCTGGTTGCGCTCGACCCATTCTACTACTTCCAGCAGAAGTGGAACATCTTCGACTCATGCATCGTGACGCTCAGCTTCGTGGAGCTGGGCCTGACCGGCGTCGATGGCCTCTCCGTGCTGCGCTCCTTTCGCCTGGTGAGGCAGTCCGTGCCGGGCTTACCGGCCCCCCGACACAGCACTGGCGACAGGGCAATACAATTTGTGCAATGCGCTGCAACGTGGATTTATGTAGCGTCGTCTGAATGCGACTGCATCTCAAGACGCTGTGACGGAAGTGGCGGGTGCATGTGATTTTGTGGAGAGTAAGAGGCAGTCGGGATACAGGACAAGGAAAAAAAATATTGTCGTGAGCCTGGACTTGAACAGAGGCAGGGAGTTGACAACACAGATGGCTGGTGAATGGAGTAGTTCCAGACCATAGAGGCAGCAGAGGAGAATTAGCGACCTCCCACTGAGCAAACTTTGACAGGGGGATTGACGTACGTGTAGAGATGCATGCTTGGGTTACATTAAGAGACATAATGAGGATCACATGGATTAGAGAAACCAAACAGAGGTTCATGACACCAGGAAAAGTAAAGTGGGCTTGGGCAGGACGCTTCACTCGAAGGGAAGATGACCAGTGATAGAGAATAGCAATGGAGTGGCAGACAAGTAATCCAACGCATCCCAGAGTACACCGACCGGGGGGAGATGGAGCCATGAAATCGGTTTGCATGTTGGTGCGAGGTGGATCGTTGTATTGCAGGATCTTGAGAGGTATGACTTGGGAAAGTCTTCATCCAGCAGTGAATTGACCATAGCTGATGATGATGATTGTAATATGTAACATAGCTACAAATCAGTCACAAATCTGGCTGATGATGCTAGTTTTAATTATTGGCGACACGTCGTACTCAGATTGTAGATTTGCTCTCCAGTACACCGGTGTGCTGTACTAGTAACGAATTGGCACGTCCTGTTTACGTGACAACCCTTACTAATTGGCTGTGTTGGGTGGTGGTGGGTTTAATGACAATTTATATTTACGCGCTCTAACCCAAAAAAACTCTATTATGGATGACATTGGTCACGTAAACCTATGTGTTAAACGTTTCCATATTTGCCAAACACGAAAATTACACTGAAAATTACTCAATTGGGATAATACGCAATAATTGTTGCCCCCCATACTGGCAGATTAATTGCCCCAGGTCACTGTTAGAAATGAAACTATCCTGGTCTCTTGGGTTCTCAGCTGCTTAAGCAAAATGCATCTGACACTTGCTACTACGGATGTCATACCTGCAAGGTGCATATCCTCTGTGCATGTCTTGTGGGGAGCGGTGATGCCGTAGGAAACATACCGCACTGCACACGCAGCAACCAGTTTGATTTCCCGACCACAACTACTATCAATGCCCAGTAGTATCAGATCCCTTCCTGGACCTCCCCTAGGTCGAGTGAGTCTTAAATGAGCACCTACTAATGGCATCGACGCGCTGCGGAGAAATAATGGCGGCCGGACGCGGCGCTGGTCATGGCACCCCTGTGTGTGCCGGCCCTGCCGGCTTCAATAGGCTCTCGCCAACGGCGTGCGTCCCACCTGTCCTCGAAGGCTGCATTGAAGATCTTCCTGTCACTTTGGCGACTCTCTCCGCAGCTGAGGGTGTTCAAGCTAGCCAAGTCGTGGCCCACGATGAACGCCCTCATCAAGATCATCGGCAACTCCGTCGGGGCCCTGGGCAACCTCACCGTCATCCTGGTCATCGTCATCTTCATCTTCGCCGTGGTGGGCGTGCAACTCTTCGCGAAGCATTACGATGAAAATAAGGCGATGCAGATAATTCCCAACGAGTGTCCCCTACGCTGGCACATGCGGGACTTCTTCCACTCCTTCCTGATCGTCTTCCGCATCCTGTGCGGCGAGTGGATCGAGAACATGTGGATCTGCATGGAGCTCGCGGGCCAGCCGCTCTGCATCGTTGTCTTCATGATGGTGCTCATATTCGGAAACCTTGTGGTGAGTGTCGCGTGAGTGCCCAACGTAAGCAATGCATCTGTTATCAGAGTATGGTTTTTGTTTGCATTCTGACCACAAGTTTTGTGGTTAATGCAGACATGATTCCTTGTAAAAGGTTTCAGTTTGGTGTTTTAACATCTTAACACCTGTTATGTTGCCAGAAAAAATGGGGAAACCGATTCTCATATTTTGGTACTGGCAAAGGAGATCCCATGATGTAGCTGCTCCCCCGAGCTCTCTTCACTCTGATAGTGCATTTGTGCTGTTCGCCTTTTGGCATTCTCTGGTCTATCACAGTTTTGAGACTAGGCTCAAAAGAAAGCTGTCTCTGTGTGGACCAATCAGTTTCAAAGACAATGCATATATTATCAGAATGTGTTTTTTATGGGCATTTTGACCACAAGTATTGTGGTTAATGCAGACATGATTCCTTGTAAAAGGTTTCAGTTTGTATACTGAATATATACATAGTATATATATACACAATGGAACTATCGATATGTTTAACGTTTTAGGAAATAATGAGTGCACTTAACCAGTAAGCAGTTTACTAGCTGATTCTCTACCTCTGGTGCATCATTGGAGACATGAAATGCCCTCGAGGGAGACAAAACCCCAAGCAGGGAGACGTTAGCTGGCATATAAAAATGTATAATGTGCATTCCATTCTATAATCTCAATGTGCAATGCATGAAAAGCAGGGAACAAAAACAGAACCAGGGCAACCGACCAAACAAACAAGGGAAGGCCGGTTTAAAGAGATGGGTTTTCAAAGAAGACTTAAATATCTTGATTTGAAGCTTTCGTGACTGCAGGAATCCATACTCTTTGTTTTTTTTCGGTAAAGTCACGTAAGTATAAAATAAAATAAATCACGACGCTCCGGGCACAACACAAGCGTCCGTCATCAGGTGGGATGAACGCTTGTGTTGCGCACGAAACGTCATCATTTATTTTATTTTATACCTACGTGACTTTACCGAAAGAACCAAAGAGTATCGACTTAAATATATCTACCGACTCTGATTTCCTGATTTCAAGTGGCAAAGCGTTCCATAGCTCGGGTGTCACGCTAACAAAAGCCCGATCACCAAAACAGCGCAACCCAGACCTGGGAGTGCTGAGCGGTTGGGGATCAGAATATCTTAAGCACCTGGAATATATAAATGTATTAGTTCATGCAAGTAATGTGGGGTGAGCCCTTTTAAAGCTTCATAGGTTAATAGCAGTATCTTAAAATCCGTGTTCTGTCATAGTCATTGATGAACCCGGGGGATAGTGGGGCGTTGTGAGGGGTGGGGGGGCATCGAGGTCTAGTCGACAATTGTACACGGGCACACTTTTAATTATCAAGCCTCAACAGCAGCACGGTTTCACTTCTGAGGCTGTCGATGGTGAAGGCGTTTAATGTGTACCCGAAGGATCTGCCCCACCAACTGAAGCGTATGACGCTGACACCCTCCAATTTGATGATGTCTACGTTATGTTTCTCCGCTGTGAAAAAGAGCTTGATAACTCATCGGATTCCTGCAGTATGAATACAGATTCTGTGTCCTGTTTCCAGAGTCTGCTATTCCCTTCTGTTAAGCAGTTCCTTTTAGGCGTCGGGGTAAGATGTGTCTGCCGCTGACTGTCTCATATTTGTATTGCCCTCTTAATTCCAATGGTATTGTTTTGAAAATGGTGTGGTATTCAGACGATGTCGTCCCCAATGTTTACACTTGCATATTCTTAGGTTTTTTTCGGTAAAGTCACGTAGGTAAAACATTTAAATTAAGAAAAGTAAAATTTAAATAAAATAAAAATCACGACGTTTCGGAGGCAACACAAGCTTCCGTCTTCAGGAGGAACTGTCACAGCACGATCGCTGTATATTGTATATTGATACAGCTATCGTGTATATTGATACAGCTATCGTGTATATTGATACAGCTATCGTGCTGTGACGGTTCCACCTGAAGACGGAAGCTTGTGTTTCCTCCGAAACGTCGTGATTTTTAATTTTATTTTTATTTTACTTTTATTAATTTTAATTTTTAACCTACGTGACTTTACCGAAAAAACCCAACAATATGAATCCTTGCAGTCACGAAAGCTTCAAATCTAGAGTTTACACTTGCATTGGATCCAGTTGTTGCGAGATCCACCCATCCACACCAAGCACCTGTTGACCCTCCAGCTTTAGAACGGATTTTTTAGTTTTTCTGCAGTTTCCACTTTTGTAGCAAGGGTTAGTGGCATCCCATCTCCTGCCACCGCCCTATTTAAAATTCCACGTTTGAGCCCTCTGTCATGATCACGGTTTTGAGTTCAATGAAAACAATATTTTAAAAAAGCCCACGCTAGTCCTGTGCCAACAGCTGCTTTGTCCCATTGACACTTTATCCGGGCACGACAATTTATTTATTGACAGTTAGATTCTACTGAATGATCGTATGTCACAAATTGGGCCAAGAGGGTGGGGCGGGAACGGAAATATGTTTTTTTGTGTTTGCGCACACGCTTATGTCGAACCGTAACACACTTCAACAACACTCACCCGTACGGATCTTTAAATACAGTTACATTATAGTGTTCTGACTCATGATCCGCTCGACTTACCGACGGGTTTTGGGAACGCAATGTGTCCATAAGTCAAGAACAGCCTCAGGTAACAGCAAGCTTTGGGAGGTTTGTAGTGCCAGGTTCTTTGTTTTTTTGTTTTGGGAAACGTATAGCGCACGGCCTGTTTTTTTTCGTTATTGACCCCGCGTGGCTACATTCACGTTTCAAAAATCAGCCTGCCTCAACGCTAACCAAATTAATGGATGCCCAAATGCACTTAACTAGTGCGGCTGCATTTCATCGCCATAGCAACGAGATATCTTGTCGAATCGGTTTTACACTGAGTGCAGTCTGCTGCTGTGGGGCAAACGGACTCATCTGGGTATGGAAGTCACACAGGGGAGATAGGGGATTCACAAAAAATAAAATGAAAACTCAGAAGTGACAAAGGCTGTGTAGCCATAAACATATATGTGTGTGTGTGTGTAATACACAAGAGTAGGTGCCACGGGGTAATGGGATGATCCATTCTTTTTGTACATACACATTTATAGGTGATGGGATTCATGCTGGCTTCCACATACAACTTGTGCGAGTGAATTACATCATCAGAAAAAAAAAGTGTTCTCTAGATAATACGTCAGTACTGTAATTGGGATTTCAAGTAAATCAATTCATAATCAACGTTTTTGGGTTTAGATCGCGTTTATTTATAAATGTGTCGTAACCCTCCACCACCCGACACGGCCAATCAGTAAAAATGTGTCACGTTGACAAAGACAAATAGTTCACTGCTTTAGCCCACCGGTGCGTTGAAGCCACAACATTTACAATTTGAGTGGCTTCAACACACCGGTGGGCTAAAGCAGTGAACTATTTGTCTTTGTCAACGTGACACATTTTTACTGATTGGCCGTGTCGGGTGGTGGAGGGTTACGACACATTTATAAATAAACGCGATCTAAACCCAAGAACGTTGATTATGAATAACATTGGTCGCGAAAGCCTACGTGTTAAAGTAAATCCATGTTAATGAAAATGGTATTTTAACTTTATCATTTTTTTTGCAACAATTAAGGATATGACAGGGCACCTTTGTATCACATAGTCGGCAAGCAGGCTCCATTCCATCTAAAAAAATGCTCTTCCAGTCCAGACTTTACGTGAAGCACTGTGTACGATAAGCACTGCCAGAGTGCCTGTGCTTGGCATGTGGAGAAAACAAGATACGAGAGCAGGGCTGGCCTTTAGGGGTGGGCAATCAGGGTGGCCGCCCAGGACACAAAGCTGTCAAGGGCGCCAAAAATGTATGAGTCTGGTGTGGCAATTGTGATCCCTACCAAGATCTTTGGAGCCCTCAGGCTGAGCTGAGTCAACATGGGGCCCTGCGCAGATGGAGGGGGGACACACAGAGACACAGGGACACAGAAATAGACAACTTTGATCTCCTCTTGGCACCCATCAAAGGATTACTTTGAAAGGGTCAAAGGGCTCTAGATCTTTGTTTCATGCCGGACACAATTTTTACTGGACATGTGAACATGCTTCGATTCATCGGTGAATTGGCAAGCTAACGACACAATGCATTGAGTCACGTTCGTTGACATTTATGAAAATTACATGCGAGTGTTATGCTGATGCTGCTTTTGGGCTATTGAATCAAACAAAAGCTACGGCAAATGTTGGTGGTAGAAACGAGCCACAAAAAATAATCCATGTTTGACTCAGACCACAACCTCGAATTGTGACAGTTTATCGAATCGCTGGTGGTTGCAGAGCGTCGGATTTGCACACTCTGCCCAAACCCAGATTGGGTACGTATTTCTGAATTAATGAAGCCGTCCATTCGTTCGATGCTTCATAACTAATGCAAATGTGGAGCAACACTGCTGTGTGTTGGGACAAGAGCCCGGCCAGTGCACAGCTTGCGTGATTGTCGGCCCAACGCACCTCCTCGGACCAAACTGGCGTTTTCATCTCGTGATGCGACCGCAAAGCCAACACGCCTGCACCTGGGCAGCTTCTTTGTACGTGCTTGATTAGCAAACAGACTATTAATTATTAATCAATGTCTTGTTAATGTGAGCTTTACGTATTGATTTCATAAAATTTTACGAGCATTAATTTTTAAGTCGTAAACATTGGACCGCGCCAAGGATTATCCAGCCGAAAGTTGCCAGCATGTGCAATTTGCATGCCTTGCCTGCTTTTAAAATTATATGGATATTCCTAATGCGATATACAGTGCTGCATTATAATACATGGCATTTTAATAATTAATTTTCCATACGCTCATCCTTTCAGACGGCATTAAGAGTTCAATCAATTTATCTCTCTAATAAAAATGAGCATACAAAACCATCCTTTCCACATTCAGCGCGCGTCCCCACATTCTCTTTGTGCGTACAGTATATATAGTTTACCTTTTAAACACTGTTCAAACTGTTAAGAAAAGTCATGAACTTGTTTAGGATGTGTCATGGCTAGAAGGGACAATGGCTGACGGTCAAGAAATATATAAATAACGACGCAGCAGCCAATGATTGAACTACGTTCAAGAGGGCATCCACTCTATTTACGGTTAATAGGCCCGCAACATTTACCAGGGTGGCCACGGGCCTCAAACCGCGAAGAGGGGACCTAATTTCATTCCTTGTACTCGGACCCGGCCAACCATGATACGCCACCAAATACATTCATAGCTTAAAGAGAGAGATTGGGGCAGGTGTCCTGATACAACAAGGCCACCATGGCACGTCGGCTGTGGTTAATGGCGCTTGTCCGTAGCGTACCGACACCCTCGTTCTTTGACTCGGAAAGAGCTGGAGGATGGCATGGTAGAGTGGTGTGGGCGGTTAGGTTGTTACCGTCGAGTATCAAGGAAAAAGGAAACTCTAGCAAAACCGGAAGAGGAGAGAGCCACACTGGTTACGACAAAAAACGGAAATAGTTACACATTCTCCAGAACAGCTACCCAGGAGAGCTACCTCGAAAAGCAGACGGTTCTGGAAAAATCAGGACAGGTGGCAATCCTAGTGGCTGGAGGAGTTGACTGACGTGCAGTGGCTCACGGGTTTCCACTTGGCTCCGATAATTATCTGTCGGGGTTTATGTTGGCAGTGTAAAACAAACACGCCGACATCACGAGGCCAGCAAAATGGCTCAAAATCAGGTGTGATGCACTTGCAAGAGATCAATCAACAGAATTAGACGATACAAACAAAACATGCAAAACAGGACATTGCCATTGTGACTCCGGTGCATGCGTCAGAGCAGGTTTTTGCAAAATAAAGGTTTTGCTTGTTCCACACGCAGTGTGTACTGCACTGTATAGACCTTGTAACACGAGGCCAGAGGCACTCATCAAAAATAATTACAGGGTTTGCAGATGGGTGGCAGAAGATATGTGTTGTGTTATCTGTTGCCTTTTTTTGCAGAAACATTAGAAGCTTGATTCATTGACTATATAGATATATATATATTTAATCTCTTACAGTGACTACGAGCAGGTTAGTCTGTTGAACTATGGGAAAGCCAGCTGGACAAAAATATTTTAAAAACTGTTGATGTTCATTTGGCTAAATTCCATCTCTGAAAATTAAAATATAGATTTTAATGTTACGTGACATCCCCCCCTAGCTGCCCTGTTGCTCTGTGTAACGGTGCAGCGGTGGCGAGATGTTAACGACCTCGCTTGGTATGCAGGAGCTCGTGGGTTTAATCGCGACCCTGAAGCTTGTATGTTTGGAGTTTGCATGTTCTCCCCATGGTTGTGTGGATTTTTCTCCAGGTCCTCTGGTTTTTCCCTCCACATTTACAAACACGCGTTTAGAGTATTTGGCTGCGATTAATTTCCACGAGATGATAAGCCACTTCGTGGAGCTTTCATTTGCGACCAGGTCACTTCTGAAAAAGCGCTGTATAGCTCAGTAAGCCTTACCTGGTAAAATACAATGTTTAGTATAGTTTTAGTTTAACCTGTGATGTCCACTTCCATGAGCCATTCTCGGAAATGAAGGGTCGTACGTCTCTGCAAGACATATGTAGGGATTCTTCATCTGGTGACATGATGCCAATAGCACACTGGGATCCAATTGAGAAAAAAATTAAAATATATATTATTCTTGACATTAATAAACATTTCATATGTACCCATGAAGCCTAACTGGATGTTAAGTGTCCTAAATGGGATTACCTGTGCCTCATAACATTATATTTGCTTGTGAGATTAGCACGGTTGGCTACATATGGTGTGAAAGAAGCTCAACATACATACGTACATAGATAAAAGGGGGAGACGTGCCTGTCTATGGAGGCATACATAGTAACAGGAGGAAATCCATGTTCATGAGAAGAGAACGCTCAAACTCTGCATAGTCGGGTCACAAAGTGTCTTTCTATAGGTGGTAACCGCTCATGGATTCTGGTTGGGATTAAGGGCAGTCACAAGTGACTCCAATTTTTATTCTTAGGTTTTTTCGGTGAAGTCACGTAGGTAAAAAATTAAAATTAAAATTAATAAAAGTAAAATAAAAAATAAAATAAAAAATCACGACGTTTCGGAGGCAACACAAGCTTCCGTCTTCAGGTGGAACCATCACAGCCCGACAGCTGTATCACTTGATCACTTGATACAGCTGTCGGGCTGTGACGGTTCTACCTGAAGACGGAAGCTTGTGTTGCCTCCGAAACGTCGTGATTTTTATTTAATTTTTATTTTATTTTACTTTTATTAATTTTAATTTTAATTTTTTACCTACGTGACTTTACCGAAAAAACCTAAGAATATGAATCCTGGCAGACACAAAAGCTTAAAATCTAGAATGACTCCAATTTTCTTTTCCTAGCATCTACAGAGGCACAAGCGAGTCCGAGGCTCTTCGCCATCGACTCGGGATTATAATTTTCCGCGTCAGACAAACACGGCACGGTTAAGACGCGAGCCGCCTGCCGTGTCTCCCTTCCTTCCATTGACCCCTGACCCCGGCGCAGGTGCTGAACCTCTTCTTGGCGCTGCTGCTCAGCTCATTCTGCGCAGAAAACTTCACGGCGGCAGACGACGACACAGAGGCGACCAACATGAAGATCGCGCTGGGCCGTATCCGCAACGGGATCGCCTACGTGGCCTCCAGCATCCGCCGCTTCGTCTGCAAGGTGCTGCGCTGCGGGAAGGTGCCGGACAGCAGGCAGAAGATCGACATCGTCAAGCTGGAGCAGATGAAAAATGTCTCCGTGGGTTTCGCGGGCACCAACGGCGCGAACCATGTGCACAAAGTCGTGTCCAACGGCAGCGTGTCGAGCATGGCCGTGCCTGTCGCCATGCCCGAGCTCGAGTCCGACATACCTGACCACGGCTCCACGCTCACGGTAATGAGGCCTCCACTTCCTTACCTAGTCAAATAAAAAATATATATATAGTTGAACAGTTTAAGGGCCCACCGAGCTATGGCCACAAATGATAGCTCAACGAAGCGGCTCATCGTGTGGGAATTTATAGCGGCCAAATACTCTGCGTGCATATATCTAAATGTGGAGGGGGAAAACACGGAGGAATATACACGTGACCACGGGCAGAATTTGCAAATTCCAAATAGCCAGCCATCAGGGTCGGGATCGAACCCATGTGCTGTATACTAAGCGAGGTAGTTAACATCTCGCCACCAAACCTCCAACTTGTCCCCTCCTCCCCTCCCGGCCCTTCCCACCTGAAGCTACCAAACATTCCGGTTTGACCTTAGACGCTGCCAGTTTCGCAAATATCGTCCCATTCGCGACTTATGATATAGGCAAAAGAGTGGGGGCTACCTGAGTAGTGGGTAGGGCCTACTGGCAGTATTTGGGACCAATGTCACAACAGTGAGGAGGGCCCCTCACTATGTGTGTGGGGCTAATTATCGTGTGGTTTTTGTAAAAGTGGGAGTGGCTGATGGATGGAGGGGCTGACAGCTTACCCTGTGACCTGGTTGAGCGATTCCATTCAGCACTGGTCAACACACTTTTTCTGGCAGAAGGTATTCCAACGGTTTCAAGGTAATTTTGGGGTGCTGATTCCAAATCTGGCATCAGTTTTTGTCTATCACATCATAGATATCAAATATTGCATTTTCAAAAAAAACTGCAGAAGAAAAATATTAAATAAATGTGAATATCTACATAAAATGATATTATAAACACACTATCCTAAAAATACAGCACCATATTTTAACACTAAAGCAGTCACTGACTCGCAACAACTTGCAATCATAAGTGACTGAGTTAATTTCTGGTAAAATCAATGAAAATGGGGTATGCCGATAGCATAAAAATGAGATGTGATAGAGCAAATCTGAGATCAGATTTGGAACCAGCACCCTGAAATTAGTCCAAAACAGCTGCAAAGTCCAGGCCAGAATTTTTTTGTTGTTGTTGACCAGTGTTATTTGTTTGCCCCTGGCCTCCTACGTATGGCTGATGTTGTTGATGTAGAGCAACGGGTAACTGCGTCAGGAGCATCAGAGTCTATCGCTGCGAGGATGCCTCATTCGTATTTATGCATCGTGTTTGGCCCTGCCCTTGCCTCTGGTCTCTGCCCTAAATAATGGCCATTGCTCGGCCGAAACATCAATCCACTGTATAATACAAAGCAGTGTTCACGATTAAGGTTATGATATGTGCATGCAAACCACCACTGCCAAGATTTGCAACCCCTTAATTGTGTCGGTTTGATTGTAAAGTGTGATGTAATGGCAATTTATGCACTGCGACCAAGGGTTACTCCACCCAGAGCCTGGGCTCCAGCCTGGTGGACGAGGCAATGGAGGTGGAGGTGACTGACGGAGTGCTGGCGAGCGAAGACGAGAAGACAAAGCAGCAGGAGGAGGAGGAGGAAGCGGAGAAGAAGTATGGGGAACCGGAAATCGTGGAGCTAGGACCTGGAGACTGCTTTCCAAATGGTACCTCCACACACAAATGTCTTCCGTTACCAACTCATTCCATCCTCCTTCCTTCCCCTCTCCACAAGCTTCTCCCAGCTGTCAATATTGCCGCCCACAGCGGCAGGGCTGTCATGCTTTGGGATCTCTGGGAGCGTGAGACTTTCCAGTTGTCGTGTGTAGGGGTGCCAATTCGGCGAACCTCACCTGTAAATTCCAGCACCAAGGGTGCCAGCGGAATTGGGGGGAGGCGGGGGGGGGGGCGTTGCGGTGCATGGTGAGGACTCTTGCACCCGTTTGTGTGAGTAAATAACGTGTGCGTGTCAGTGGGGTTGCGTTGCATTCAATGTGCGTGCGTTTGCATGTGAGTAAGTGCGTGCGTATTTGCTTATGTGACGGCCGAGGGGGTTGGTGCTGGCCTCATAACCACCCCTTTTCTGCCATCCAGGCGATGACAGGTGCTCGCTAACAGCACTGGCCTGGCCGTGTTGGCGATCTTTGTCATTGTTTGCATGTGAATGAGTACGTATTTGTACGTATGTATGTTGAACTTCTTTCGCGCCTTGTGTAGCCAACCATGCTCATCGGAGGTGCGGGAGAAGGACAACAAAGTAAACACAAAAATCAGTTCTGAAGAAACGAGTTACCAATCTCGATGTAATGTGTTCCTCGCCAGTACTTGCCCCAAACACTCTGTGAGAGGCTATATGGGGTATCTGTGTCTAAGTTTGCGTATGAGCGAGCCATGTTTGCGTGTGTTTGCCGGGCGTCTTGTGTCGGCGGATGAGCCTGTGAAGGAGCTCAGGCGCATGCCACACAAACACACAGTGATTTAACAGTGTGGGGAGCGGTGGTGCAGTGGTGAGTGCACTCCGGTCACGAACCCGGCCACCCGAGTTCAATTCCCACTCACAGACAATGTTGGTCGACATCCTTTAATCAGTATCCATTGCAGTGTGTAATCATCAACACTGGGGAGACAAATTTGGCGGGGAGTGGTGCTGGCCACCACCCTTCACTGTGCTGTTAGTGCTCGCTAACAGCACTTGTCCCAGCAGTCTGTTAAATGCCATATGGGCGGTCGTTGTCTTTGTGATGCGGCAGTCCTGAAACAATAACAATGGACAAAAATCCCAAACTTTTCCCAAACTTTTCAGGATCTATCATTGATTGTTGTTTTGACTGAGTTTGCTTTATCAGATATCTCTTAATTTAAAAACATATTCCAAACCAAACTGGATTCCTACACTCTTAGAGAAAGGCCAGCTAATGACACACAAGTAAACGTATTATTTGTATTACTACAAGCTAATAACTGTACTCTTTCAAGCTTCAGAAATAATAACTAATTACGCACTACGTGAATAAAGTACAAATAAATTACAAATAGACAATAGCAAGCGTGAGTGGTGGGGCAGTGGTTAGCACGCTGCGCTATAAACCCAGCCACCTGAGTTTGATTCGTAGCCACGGCTGATGTCAGTGGCGAGTGATATCTGGACAAGTCCTGGGCGCCCCTTCACCAAATCGCACTGACCAGTGTGATGAAGTATAGTAAAACTACCCCCCCCACCCCACAATGACTGGCATGGCGTTGAGATTCCTTCGTCCAGTAGTAAATTGAAAGAAAAAAAATTCATTTATAGTTTTTTTTTACGATTTGGCAGTTTTGCACTGAACCTGTCTCGTAGCTTTAGTGGATGGCTCTTGCTAATGTGATTTAGAGTGTGCATTTGCGAGTGGAATTCTAAGAATTGGAGCTCACAGAATGCGGTCACTGCTGATTGAATCATTAGCTTCCCCAGAGCTATTACTCGTAAGATGTTCAAGTGCAAAAGCAGTTGCTTATAAGGCCTGACCCTAATGATTAGCAGCGTCCATCGGAAATTGAAATCAGTCCAGAGTTTTACCTGCTCAAACCAATCCTGCTGCAAAACATTGCTCCGGACACCTCAGAAGCCACTTGATGGAATGGACACCCTATTTGAATTTGGAGATATTAAATGTGTCCGCTTAGTTATGTCCTGACTGAACGTGTTACCCACGAAACAACGGTGTCCAGCACAGTGGAGAAACTTGTAGCTGAAGCGACCCGGGAGAGTGGGGGGGGGGGAACCTGGCTGCGCGTGGCCACCTCGCTCGCCATCCGCAACGGCTCCGAGCAGCCGTGCAAAGTAGAGCCGCCCCACGGAAACAGCTGTATGTGTGCGTGCGTGCGTACGCTGAACCTCTTTCCCACCGTACACAGCTGAAACGTGCTTATCGGAGGTGTGGGGGAAGGGCAACAAAATACATACAAAAAGCAGTTCTCAAGAAATTCTTTCCTAGTATGGGAAGGAAGAGCGTTCCAGACGGCCGCGAAAGCGCATCTGGAAGCGCGCGACGCTGTGACCGTCTTTGTTCGGTGGTTATCCTAAAGCCGCTGCGAGGATGACCGCAGTGGCGACATTGTTATAGGGTTAGCACAGATCAATTTAAGTTTTTGTAAAAAAAATATATTAAAACGAGGCATCGTGTAATGAGGCAACCATATGGTTGAGAAAGGAGCGAGCCAAGGTCGCAGAAGCAAGAGGTGGAGCCTCCACAGAGCAGTGCCAACAATAGATGGGCACGACTTGGGTCTGCTTTCCAATCGCTGTGGAAACGCGGCGGTAAACCCATACTCTTTTCACAGGCACAGAGCTTTCCATGGCCCTTAAAGATTTCTCCAGAGGTAATCAGCGAAGAACTCATCCCCTGTTCATCCCATCTGCCCATTCCTTCCAAATCCAACATTCATTATTGATGAAGGAGCCGCTGATGTTTAATCTCTTAAAATATGCCAATATCTGACTTTTTGGGTCACCCATATTATGTAAGCGCATTTGACGATTCGTCCCTCTAGGGATTCTATTAATTCTCACGACAGTCTTTGTCGCAATTAGATTCAAGAATCAATTATTTGTTAGTCTGATTTTTAAGTCTCGTTTGCATTGTTTCTCTTTTTTCATTTGTACATGTTTGACTCCATTAACCTCAATAGAGCATGAGCATATAATTGGTATAATATTTTGATGAATTATATGTAATTGATTTTCACGTGTAAAATTCAACAGCCGGCTTGTATCGTGAGTGTAAGAATGGCTTTGATTGATGAGTCAGAGTATGGTTCTATGAATAGCCATATCCTTTGCACTAATATATCTGGATTTCCTGGCTGGTGCCTGCATATCTTATTATTTTTGTTTCATTTTTTTTATAATCTTATCTCATTTATGTAATCGGAGTGATGTCATGAAACCAAAAAGAGCTATTTGGAACTCTCACAGGAGCAGCGCGACAAATGCGGATATTTTTACACATTTGATCGCCACAATAGATGACAGTATTCAACTTCATTGTATCCGATCAAATTTCGATTTAAAGCTTTCGTGACTGCAGGGATTCATCTTCTTGGTTCTTTCGGTAACGTGACTTTACGGAAAGAACCAAGAAGATGTATCCGATCACTTAAATTGAGCCACAGTTAAGCACACACAAAAAAACGAATTTGATGCGATGATTTTTTTTCTATGCAGTCATTGGTTACTAGTCTTCAGATCATCATCCCACTGCACATTGACAACCGGCATTAATCACGGACGACCGAAAGCCAGATTAGAACCCAGTATCTCAGCGGAGCCGCGCCCAACGCTCTGACCTGTGAGCAAACCCGGGCCACCTCCCCTCCCGTCATGTTTGATTTCTAAAGTTGCCATCGTTGCGGCGGGTGCGTGCGCTCACAGTGATCGCACGGAACTTCCCGTGTTGCAACGTGGACGTGACGCGGGGCTGCTGCCTGCCATGCTGGACCCTGCGGCGGACATGCTTCACCATCGTGGAGCACAACTGGTTCGAGACGTTCATCATCTTCATGATCCTTCTCAGCAGCGGAGCCCTCGTGCGTAGGACCACGCACTTCACTCAATGCTCATGTCGAGTCGGGAGCGTCCAACGTGATTGCGGCGGCGGTGGCGGCGATGGTGGCGGTGATGAGATTGTTGTTTTTACCATCATCATCATCAGCAGCCGTGGTCTATCTATTGCTGGATGAGTACCTCTTGTGTGTATGTTATCTTTCGCACCGTACGTAGCCAACCGTGCTAATCGAAGATGCGGTCGTCATCTATCACGGTCCTGCAATGCCGGAATCCATATCAATCCCGCACTACGTACACATATGCACACAAATATACAAATGTAAATACACACGCATACACAAATACTAAGATCTCCTCCCATAGAGATATTTAGATGGTTGGGTCAAGTGTTGTTTGTAAGAACCTATTAAGGCCAGTACGCTGGATAAAGAGATGGTGTGATCAGAACCCCTTCCCCCCTACGCATCCATTTCCACCCATTTCCTTACCTACTTCGCCTAAAAAATGATAGTTACACCCATGCACAAATACTGCAATGGATGTGAGTGGTTAATTGGTCAGAGCAGAAATGCGACGTTGCACTGCAACATGTTTTTTTATACCCATAATGCAACCTATCACTGTCCGCTTGCAGGCATTTGAAGATGTTTACATCGAGCAAAGGAAAATGTTGAAGACCTTGCTGGAGTACGCCGACAAGGTGTTCACGTTCATTTTCATCATCGAGATGTTGCTCAAGTGGGTCGCCTATGGCTTCAAGAATTACTTCACCAACGCATGGTGCTTGCTGGACTTTGTCATCGTCGGGGTGAGAGCCTGCAGTGGGCCGCCGCGCCGTGTGATTCACAGGTCAAGAGTGCTCCGAGCTGACGCCGCTGCTGAGATCCTGGGTCCAAATCTGGATTTGAACTTCCCAGTGGTTAAACTGAATGGTCAATTTTATCGTCTTGGTTCTTTCGGTAAAGTCACGTAGAAGGTAAATAATAAAATAATAAAAATAAAACATAATAAAATAATTCTCACGACGTTTCGGCCACAAAGCAAGCAGACCTGATGCTGTTTTTCCGACAGACCTGTTCTTCACCTGAGGACGGCTGCTTGCGTTGTGGCCGAAACGTCGTGAGAATTATATTATTATTTTTATTATTTTATTATTTCCCTTCTACGTGACTTAACCGAAAGAACCAAGAAGATGAATCCCTGCAGTCACGAAAGCTTTAAATCGAAAAATGGTCCATTTTAGTGAGTTTTACAATCTCAACCCATTCATCCAGTGACTGTAAAAATTATAACCCACTCATAATTTGGTCCTCTAAATGCATTGGACTAAAGTCCAGCTCGGGGAAATAAAAATATCGGTTTGACTGTAATGCCGCCCCATGTTGTGTGGACCTGAGACCACTCAAAGGGATATCGGAGGTAGCTCTTTGATAACTACTTCTGTGAGCTGTTTTCTGACATGAACCGTTGCACTCGTTCTGCTAGAGATGCGAATGGAAGCTTAGTCTCGTGACATTGTCGAGAGGCACAATTGGAATGAAACTGGAGAACCAGACAAAATATAAAGAGAGGCCTGGAACCTGATGTTTTTAGGATACGTGACGGTGTGCAGTATATTTGTTGTTGAAGTGTCACCAGGAGATCAGAGTTGTCCGTAGTGTGTGCAACTTTGAGAAGGTTCCCCACGTTCACACTCGCAGGGCTTGTAAAAATAGAGCCACGAGGACACCTCCCTCCCTCCCCTCCCTCCCTCTTTTTCCATCTTCTGCTGTTCAATGTGCTTGAACTATTCTCCCCTAACCCACTTTGCTACGTGGCTCTTCACGGCTGCCGGTCTATACACATATCTACTTAGTAATTGATTTTGCCAGCATCTCATGAAATATTTAAACATTTAATCACGTTTCATGATAATACCACCGCTGCTAAAACTTATGCCTCTGTCCCTAGCAATGTCTTGTTACAGCAAAACACCACCAATCAATTCATAAAAAAATGATGGCGTGTTAAACGAAGGGAGTTGGATCCCTGCTATGTGTGCATAGAGTTTACACTGTTGGGGCACAAACAAAACTGGACATGCAACGGGAAGAAGGTTCATCTTCTTGGTTCTTTCGGTAAAGTCACGTAGAATGGAAACAATAAAAATAATAAAATAAAACATAATAAAATAATTCTCACGACGTTTCGGCCACAACGCAAGCAGCCGTCATCAGGTGAAGACCAGGTCTGTCTTTATTATGTTTTATTTTATTATTTTTATTGTTTCCATTCTACGTGACTTTACCGAATGAACCAAGAAGATGAATCCCTGCAGTCACGAAAGCTTTAAATCGAAATTTAAGGGAAGAAGGTTATCACACAATATTTGAAAAGAGGGAGAGCTACATTTAAGTTTTTTTATTTGTTACACGGATGATCCAGTTTAGCCACTTACCCGGCTATTTTGCAAAGGGAGTTTGTGGTGCGTGAGCAGAGCAACAACAAACGAAAGACAAAAACATCAACATTACAGAGAACGAGCACAGGGTCCATAGGGAGTACTGCACGACTAAAAAACTAGGCATTGAACGGTTGTAACGAAACACACACGAATCAACTACAGTGCAAATGTAAATATGTAAAAGTGAGGTATAGGGTATAGGTGCAAGTACGTGAATGTGAATGCATTGTCGTGGGTGGATTTTTAGTGCTCTTAATCTTCTGGGAAGACTTCCAGATTTCCCAGGACAGACGACGACCCCATGTGAAAGGCCACGCTGCGAATCATCCCTCCATCGACACTCTCGCTCCCGCTCCTCTCTTCCCAGGTGTCGGTGACATCCCTCATCGCCTCGTTCATCGGATACGACCAGCTGACGGCCATCAAGTCACTGCGGACCCTGCGCGCTCTCAGGCCTCTCCGGGCCCTGTCTCGTTTCGAGGGGATGAGGGTACGGCATGAGTGGCCGCGAGTTTTGTATTTTGCGATCAGTGGCTGTGCAGGCCCATTGAGGAGGCCCCAATCAGAAATTATTTTTGGGACCCCCCCCCCTACCCCTTTTTAGTTCATAAAATCTGAATGCATACAAAACTGAGATTAGGGAGATTAATTGTCTTCTAAATCAGTAAAAGAGTAGTTTATTAGCGTTTGAATTTGAACCCATAGTTTATACACCCATATTTGTTTTTGAGCTTCTTGGGGTCGACGCATTTTGCTCGGGTTTGTTTGTGCCTGGCGCCAGCTGCCATTATTTATAGCGTGCCACCGGTGTTGCTGTGTGACCCCGAACGCTTTCCAGCAGAGGCTGGCATGGTTGGCCTTCTACCCTGGTGCATGGCATGGACCCCTTGTCTAATTTCCTCCCTCTTTGTAGCTCGGTGCCTGGGCCCCCGCAGGTCCGTGGGCCCCGATGCGCTTGTGCTGCCTGCACACTCGATAGCTACGCCGCCGCTTTATTTCCCTTTGTTTTGTAGCCCCTAAATGACTGTAGCAACACGGGACAAACACGTCATCGTTGGTACCAACGATCCCGTATGAACGATGCGCTTGCTTGACTCCAGCTTGAAGATTTAGAATAATCAGAATCTGAATATTTATTTATACTGGATGAATCCGATAAGCTAAAAAGCTCCTTTTAACAGCAGAGAAACTTAGATATGATCCGGTTGGGGTGGGTCAGAACGTTACAACAAAAAATACGACGGGAGTGAAAAGTATAGGAAAGGCAAATACATCGCTTGAAAAAATCCAAATTAAACGAAATTATGTTTTATCTCACCACGTAAAGCTCACTGTGGTATTCACTTATTTTTCAGAAGTGTCCTGGCCACAAATAATAGCTCAACGAAGTGGCTTATCACGTGAAAATTTAGAACAGCAAAATAACATTCTAAATAATAAACAACGGTGATGGTAAACTGCATGGCTGGTTCAGCCTAAGATGGCTCGTGGCGTGCCTACATTGCTCATGCGTGCGCTGCTCTCGCATGAGTCGAAGGTAATTGGTTAATTGGTGTGTTTCTATGGAAATCCGATACATAATGTCACTAGCATATGGACGGACGTGGTGTATGATTGAAAGGAAATTGGTGCCTTTGGTCTGGGTTTGGCTGCTCGTGTGGGTGTGCGGTGTTTCCATGGTATGACTACACATTGCTCATTTTATATCCAGGGATATGTTTATCCTGTCAATTAGCGATGGTTGGAGACAACTTGTTTCGATGCTGTTGAGTATGCAGTGGTCTAGTAAAAGCCCTCTAGTGGCTAGTAGACCTCGACATTGAATATATTTCAATAGATTTTTTTAATATATATAGCTCCTGAATATATTCCCGTACGCAAGAATAGAATGATGAAATATAAATGCTCTCTCACCAAGAAATCTGGAATTACTCTTCATCAGACAGTCTGGGATTAAGCGGTGGTGCAATGATTAGTACATTCCAACTTCAGTCCAATTCCCAGCATTCGCTTACAAAAGTGGCGAATGATATTTGAACAAGTCCCATTAAAGGATTTGACCAAACTCTCCAAATGCAGGACCATCCTGAAAGAGAGTCTGAAGACACAGCGAGGCTTCTCTGCTGTTTTGCCGAATGCAGCACATGCGTAAGAAAAGTTGAATCCTTGGGACTTGGCAGCGCATGTGCATTTCCCCCATGCTGAGCTCTTGACACAGACATAAGTGGCACTTGAATAATTGATAATGATACTAATGTAGGGCCCTCTGTTAATCCAGTGCTGTATTAAGGCCTCTTCACGCCATTTCAGTCATGAGGTGTTTGACCATATTTTGCCATGCTGATCAATGTGTGATGGTGAAGAGGGTGGGTTGGGTGGATTTTGGGTGAGACAAAACCTTTTCAGATCTCTTGTCACTGATATCGGCCGTGACCAGCAATTGAACTCAGGTTACCTTGTTCAAAGTGCAGTGCACTAACCCGTGCAGCCCGCTCCGCTGCAAACGCAACCTACATTACGTAAATGTTTAGTGTGCAAGCATTAAAGTCGCACAAAGACCATGCTGTGAATTTGGATCAGGCCATATATAGTATATGTGTATAGTAACCATGATACACTACCACAAAGCATTATGAACAAGATTCACCCACTTCCCTCTATTGTGTGGACCAGATGTCTCTTAATTCCGTGGACCATCTCTAAAACGAGAGATTTGACTGCTCTGTAAGAAATCCCAGTGAATACTTCGTCACAAGACATGATGCTGATGAGCAAAATTGGAATAAAACTGGGGAGAAGATTTTTTTAAGTGAAAAAAAAAGAAAATGTATGAAATAATGATGCGTAAATAAAACAAGTTCGAAATATCATGCACGTGCATGGATTCTGTAATGCTCTCCAACGTGTGTGTGCCGTCAAAAGGATTTAAGTAGCACAACAGATGCTGATAGGTAGCCATCAGGACAAAATGTATTTGCAATTACAAGAGTCTTTTTTGTTCTGGTGTGAATCTCCAAGTTTGATGTAATTGACCGATTTTACATAGGTTAAGTCTCCCATAGTTGAACAAATTTTCACCACAGTTGTGATCCCCGCACGCGTAACTAGTGTAGCAATATGGCCAGCGCAGGTTTGGGGTCTCAGGCCCAAAGAGCTGGAGCCAGTTACCGGCAGATGTTCAGGATCCATCCTTGAATCTGAGCTAGTTTTGCCAAATACTTCGAAAAAAATGTGACTCCAAAGAGCTTACTAAATGTGATCAGCATGTATTCATGAACGACTGGACACATAAGAGTGCACGATGATAAATGTTCAAACTTACGAAAGTTTAGTTCATGTTGGACGATTGCGAATACGAGTTATCGTGACCCCATGTTATACAGACAGGCGGGCGGACATCATACATAGCATGAGCACTTTTAACCTCATTTAAAATCGTGAATAGTGAAATCGGCCACTGCTCGTCATCGGCCGTGCGGATGTGTGTGTGTGTGTGTGTGCGCGCGTCCACTCGCACAGGTGGTGGTGAACGCGCTCGTGGGCGCCATCCCCTCCATCATGAACGTGCTGCTCGTGTGCCTCATCTTCTGGCTCATCTTCAGCATCATGGGCGTCAACTTTTTCAAGGGAAAGTTCTTCAAGTGCGTGAACAGTACGGACGACAGCACGATGAACGAGTCAATAATCCCCCACCAAAACGCGTGCTTGGAGCAGTCGCCCTTTCTGCGCTGGAAGAACCTTCCTGTCAACTTCGACAACGTGGCCTCCGGATACCTGGCCCTGCTGCAAGTCGTGAGTTGCGTCCCAACGCCTCCTCCTCTGCACGCGCGTTGTCACAGCGGCGTTTATCGCGCCAACGAAATTAGTGACGCGGAAAAATATTTTCGTCGACAAATAATTTTTTGTGTTCGTGAACGATGACGATGAGTTGACGAACGTCATCGAGTGTGACGACGACTGCTTTGACTGTCCACCAAAGACCAACGCTTGACTGACTACGACAATGTGAAGTTATATTCTTGGTTCTTTCGGTAAAGTCACGTAGAAGGGAAATAATAAAATAATATAAATATGAAACAATAAAAATTCTCACGACGTTTCGACTGCAACACAAGCAATCATAATCAGGTGTGAAATCCATAGCTTGTGTTGCAGTCGAAACGTCGTGAGCATTTTTATTGTTTTATATTTATTTTATTTTATTATTTCCCTTCTACGTGACTTTACCCAAAGAACCAAGAATATGAATCCCTGCAGTCACGAAAGCTTTAAATAAAAATGTGAAATTAACTCGTCTGCATGAAGACCCAGACGAAGATTATTCGCTATGTTATTAGACACCGCAGTGCACAGAGGAAGACCATAGCTGGTCATGGGTTTATATGCATGCGGAACGATTTACTGAGTTAACTGATATTTGACTCATTTAGTCGATGAGACTAAGATTATGACCACAATCAAAAAAATGCGAAGTGAACCCTGCTGCCCATGCAGCGTTAAAGCTGTATTGCTTCGTGCGTGACCTCCACGTGAAGGCCCATCTACTAAAACTACTCAAATAAACTTGTGCTCAAGAGCTGCCATCGTTGGACAGAGCTATCCTTGCCCAAAACCCTTTGCCGGCTTTGAAATTGCCTATGATGAGCATCGGCTTTCATAACAACGTTGTTTTAAGGCATTGGCTCAGCGCCAGATGTGATTACGTGACACGAGCAAAGACACGGAGTAGAGTGGAGTGGGGTGCGTATTGGAGAGAGCTTGACAGTGGTGGTCAGCTCGCAGTATGAACCCCGCCTGAGAACATGTTGCTGAGGAATGAGTATTGGAATTTAATAATCTGGCTATACTGTGTTGAGACATTACAACAACATCTTATTTAATGCACATCACAGATAAAATGAGATATATATTACTATTGAACAATTTTAATTTTACCAGGTAAGACTCACTGAGCAATATAGCTCTTTTTCAGACGCGACCTGGCCACAAATGATAGCTCAAATGAAGTGGCTTATCAGCGTGAAAATTTATAGCAGCCAAATACTCTAAACGCTTGTTTCTAAATGTAGAGATAAAAACCGGAGGACCTGGAGAAAAATCCACACGACCACGGAGAGAACATGCAAACTCCAAATATACAGGAGTCAGGGCCGGGGATCGATCCCACAACCTCCTGTATACCAGGCGAGGTAGTTAACACCTCGCCACCACGGCTCCCCATATGTAAAGATTTTGCAGCGTAATACCTCTTTTCCACAGTACAACTGAACCGCGCTGGAGCCGTGCCGTGCCATCTCTGCACGGCTCAGCAGGTGCCAGGTTGATTTTCCACTGCAGAAGCCTAGCCGAGCCGTGCCGTGCCACTGACGTCACACACAATGAATGCTTCATTAGCCCAGCAACCTGACCCTGCTTGGCCCCAAGCCAGATTCAGATGTCTCGTGAGGCCAGGCTTTTACGGTTTTGTTGGCTCGACAAATATACAGTGGAAAACCATCCCATACCAGGAGGGTGGCACGCTGGCATTGCTCAGATGTTCCAGTGGTACCGGGTTGAAAGTTGTGGAAGTAGGTTTTCTTGCTGCTGGGCGAAGAACATTGTTAGTGACTGTGTATTCATGGTAATGTATGTGTCATGTAAAAAAAAGATTGTTTACTTAGAGAACTGGTTTTGTTTGTTCTATGGTTCAGCGCTAATGCAAACTGTTTGGCTATTTATGCAGCTCATTATGGCTTGACCACCTAACACTCTGAGCAAGGAGCGGTGGTGCACTGGTTAGCACACTGCGCGATGGGACTGGGACCCCCCTTTCCCCTTTCACCAACTTACACTGACCACCACAATGGCTTGGATCTAGCAGAGAAATTACAAAAGTACAATAAATTATTATTTATTTTCATATAACGCTTTTCATTCAGCCCTTAGTTTTGATGCTAAAATAGTTTTGCGTAAATAAATCATGTGTTGGAATGCTGAACTTCGCAAGGTAACGAGGCCGTGATTTGTCTGTCCGTCTGTGCAGTCCACATTCAAGGGATGGATGGATATCATGTACGCTGCAGTTGATTCTCGTCAAAACGTAAGCTGTTGTATCCAAAACTTTGAATTCCCAGTGTTAACACAAGGCAACGACGCGCCTTGTCTACGGTTGTGTTTTATACGTTCGACTCGTGCCTCGTAGAACATTGTTTTTTAATAGAATGACGGGGTAAGTAAAAATGATCATCATCGCTGAGTAGAAAGGAAACTGTGCAGGTTTTACTTGCTGCCCGTTCTCATTTCCTCTCAGTGAAACAAAAAAAAGCGAAAAAACTCGTCATTATTTTTCATTCGCCTGTTATTTCACGGGTGAGTTCACCGAAGCAGAAAGTTCTGACACTTGAATCAACATGCGCGCATATGCGAATAACTCTGCGTGCGACGGTATGCTCAGCACTTCCCCCAACAGTCCCACCCCGTATACATGTTTCAGATTTGTCTCTGTAACGCAGCTGCACTGAAGGCTGAGTCCACCAGCCCTGTGCCAGGCCTCGAAACTTCGAAGTCTATGCCAGGATGAGTGAAAACTCTTTGGTTGCGACAAGGTCAAGTGGTTCTGCGATGACAACACTGAGCCGTCACTGCTGAAATCCTTTGGTTCGAAGTTGGTTTTCAGTTACCCGTGATTAAACCAGGTTGACAAATGTGGCTGATGGTCTTGGACTTGTCACAAGCGTCTATAAAAAAAATGTCCATAATACGTTAGCTTTTTTCATTTTATTTGGATAAATTCTCGCCATGAGAATGAATTAAACCACCAGTTTGACTGCCATGCCCCGGATGTTTCTCTCGAGCAGGGCGTGTCTTGTGCGTGATTAAAACAACAAAAAACTTACAGGGATCTCAGAACTAGACTTGAGATATCTCCTTAACTCGAGGTGTCATCTGACATACAAGCAGTCAGCTGCTCTGTGAGAGTCGCACATGGACACTTTGTCCCATGGCACATGATGTCGCTAATCGCGCATTTGAAGTCAAAGCCCTTGTCGACAGCAAGGAAACGTCCCATCCAACTTCTGTAGAAGGCAAATGGACGTCGTTGTTGTTGTTGTGTCTGTGTCAGAACTTCTTCTGGTGGCCTTTTTCAGCCTCGGCTTCAAAGCGCCATGGCCAGTTGCATAACATCGCCTTTTGGCGTCATCTGGTCCAACCCATGTGAGACTAGGCTCTAAGGAAAGCTGTCTCGGGTGTGGACCAATCAACTTCAAGGACAGTGCACATTATCAGAGTTGTGTTTTTTGTTTGCATTATGACTTGTAGGCATTGCGGTCTATGCAAACATGACTCCTTGTAAAAAGGTGTCAGTTTTGTTGCCAGATAGAAGGGTAAAAGATCAATTATCAATTAACATCCCTGAAGTTACAAAAACAATCCCCTCAATGAATACTGATTTTAATCGGCATAAAGAGGACTGTGTATTCGAGTTTTTGTTTTATGCAACTGGGCCCCTGTCTTTGAACGGAATCCCAGTGACTTGGTCGGTGTCCTGATTAACACGTGCTGTACCCTGTGTTGTGTTATTCCATTGCAGAATACCGAACAGCCTCGGTTTGAGGAGAGTTCGGGATACTATTTGTTCTTTGTCATCTTCATTATATTTGGAGCATTTTTCATCCTCAACCTTTTCATTGGTGTGATCATTGACAACTTCAACCAGCAAAAGAAAAAGATACGTTCCCCTCTTTGGCTCCGCATTTCACTGCATGCCGCCCGTGTTCTGTAACGTGCCGTCACTTTTTCTCTCTTTCTTTCTTGAGCGTGCGTGTGCGTGTGTTGACGCGCGCGTGTGTGTGTGTTCACGCTTCACGAGTGTGCTCCTAATCGCTTTGAGTTTGCTTTCAATTATTTAAGCCAAATCTCATGCAAAAATAATTATTTTGCCACTGGCCGATGCGTCTCCGGGTTGGTGCCGTGTTTGGAAGCAAAGCAGCGTTTTCACTGTGCGCCGATGAACCGGACGAGAGAGAGAGAGAGAGTGATCTTGCATAATTTTTATAAATGTATATATTTTTTACTATATTCTTTCAAAGGAGAGTACCTGGGGGGGGGGGGGGGGAACATAATTTTGACGTGAATTTTCTGCAATGGATTTGAGTCGAAAAGGTGGCTGCCAACTGTCAAGAGGTGATCTAAACAATGATACTTTTCAGATTGTTTTGGGGGGCTGGTGGTCTAGACAAGGCTGATAAGCATTATGCATGCAATGTGGTGGTCTCCAATGGGATGCAAGGCATGATGGGAGTCGTGATATGTGTATAAGCAACACACTTTTACCCTCATGTTTGTTTCCAGCCTCCACGCAGTTTCCCATTGCAATGGGGTTGCCTCACCATTCACAGCAATGTGTTGCTCTTGAAGGGATGCTGCTCTCGTTTGTCAACGTTGGCCCTGCATGCAGAATTCAAAAACACGCCTCGTTTTTTTCGTTTATGTCGCACGTGCAATTTGAGTCTCAGTAGTCGGCCATCCCCCTTGCAAAAATATCCTATCATTAAAGTGAGTGTTCATGGGGAGCTGGTGAAAGGCTTTCACAGCACAACGCTGAGTGTTAATAAGGCTAATTTCCTGCGAGGAGATCCCATTGTGCAGCATTACTGAGTAATCTCTCAAGAGCCGAGAACGCAAGCCTCCTCTTTTATGGGCATCCCCCCAGTGACTTCTCCGGCAGCCGAACACTTTACAGATCGCGCCTTCTCCTCCGCGTGCACCCCTTTGTAGAGCCCATCCATTAAGGTGGCTCCATTTCCTGTGAAATGCAGGGTGCTAATTCACCCATTCCCTGTTGGACTACATGGAGACGATTTGCAATGTGCCGCTTGTTTAGCACGTGACAGCGAGCACTCTGCGTGCATGCATTTGTGCCATTACGTGCCTGTAGAATGCAGCTTAGAAAGTAGGTCTCTGCAACATCTAGAGTTTTCTTCCTTTGCACACGTGGGTCTCCTCCAGGCGCTCAGATTTCCTCCCACGCACACGTGGTACCAAATACAACAAATTGGCCAAACGTCCCAAACGGGCAGCTTATCCGGCAACGAGCGTTGAGACTTGGAGAGCAAATCACCGGGAACGCGTCCGCCCTCGCCAGGTCTCAGGAGCTCATCAGCATCGAGCCTGGATAGTGCTTGTTGCGGGGTCACGTGGTGGGCAGCAGAGGGCAGTGCGGCAGATGTTCAAACGCCAAAACTGAAACCTTTTGCGAGGAATCATGTTTGCGTTAACCGCATATTCTTGTGGCGAACGTGCAAACAGAAAAACATGCTTTGCTCGTACTATGCATTGTCTTTGAAACTGATTTTTCCACACCAGAGCTGTCCCAGTTTCAAAGGCAATGCATATTACGACCAGAGGATGTTGTTTGGTTGTACCGTATGTTTATGCCTCTACGCTTATGTTCCCCGCCTTCTCCAACCCGCACTGACCAGCGTGGTGAATTACAGTCAAATAACCCCCAACGAGTCAAGTGGCTTGGGATGGGGGGGGGGGTGCTCATCCGTCAATGGATTGACAAAGGGCTAGACATATGCTTGTACGTGAGGATCATTATGATGTATATGTTCAGAATATCGGCTGTCCGCGTGTTTTACAATAGCTGAATTAGTCTCGGCTGAACCCAAGCAGTGTTCGGCTTCGTTAAAAACACGAGGACATTTCCCTGCCGTGGCCCTTTGCGTATGAACCACTGAGCGAGGCGTCTTTATGAATTTCACCACTTGCGACAGCCGGTGTGTCCCAGCGTGTCGTCGTAACGGTGCGGTTTCACCCCGAGGGATAGCGTCGCCAGAGATGAAGGCACATCGTGAGCCCCGCTCGTTTCCCTGTCAGCGCCGACGCACACCGACGCGAATGGAAGGTTGTAACCAGATTTTTCTTTTTTGTCGTCCCTGCACTTTGGTGGAGAAGACATCTTCCTCACTGAGGAGCAGAGGAAATACCACAACGCGATGAAGAAGCTCGGATCCAAGAAGCCCAGAAAGCCAGTGCCAAGACCGAATGTAAATACATCCCCTGTTAAACTCTCTGACTGAAGAGGTGATCCCTAGATTTCCGTCAAAGCAACCGAGAAATAGGTCAGATTGTTCGGGAGCGAGTCTGCCGACCAGAGTTTGGCTCCCAGCCATGGCTAGCGTCGGTGGCGGTGAGTGTTTTCAGACGCAGGATAATCTTGGTTCTTTCGGTAAAGTCACGTAGAAGGGAAGTAATAAAATAATCGAAAAAAAACATAATAAAACAATTCTCACGACGTTTCGGCCACAACGCAAGCAGCCGTCTTCAGGTGAAGAAAGTTTCATTTCTTATTTTATTATGTTTTATTTTTATTATTTTATTACTTCCCTTCTACGTGACTTTACCGAAAGAACCAAGATGAATCCCTGCAGTCACGAAAGCTTTAAATCGAAATTTAGACGCAGGATAAATTAAAATTCTGAGATTCTGATGCTGTCGATTCATCAACATACACTGACCAGAATGATAAAGTATGGTCAAACAACTCTCACGACTGACTTGACATGGGGTGGCCTTCATGCAGCATTAGATTGACAAACGGCTGTTACTTTACAACTTGTTTTGTTAGAAAAACAGTGTATTTGTCGGTTTTAGATAGTTTATTGTTTTCCAAAAAAAATCTTGTTTCTTGTTAACATTTTCTCCAGGTGTTGTGTGCTGTGATTTATGTTGCTTTTATTTACAGGAACAATGGATGGCATTCATCACATATAGCAACATCCTGAATATAACAATCTATTATTGGATGGAATCCATCATTAAACATTAGTTTACAGCATCTAAAGTGCATTTATTCAATGACACATGACTTATGAATTTTATCCGGTTCTCAAGTAGGCTACGTTTTTGGGAGTATGAAGTGAATATCACTGAGCAACCCTGAGATGCTCATCCAGTGATATCTGGTCCACAGAGTTGAGGGAAGCACTCTCCCACCCACTGTGCATATGAGAGTAACGTTCGATACATGCCAGTCAAATAGTCAAGCCGATATAACATTTCTCAGAGCTGGAATTTGACCAAGTTCCACAGGACATTTCTTTTTTGCGAATAAAATGAAACTCAGTCTGGTGTATATGCAAAGGGTGGGCCCGGCCCCACTCTGCCACACCTAGTAGAGAAACGAGTCTGAAGCATGGCACAGATGGGATGGAAGGCACTGCATAGCAGCACTGATGAAATATACATATGAGTTGACGTCTCTCGTAACCAAAGTCTGTCGGCCAAAATGTTAATGGATGCGTTTTTCTTTCGCGAGTCACGTCTCTTTGCCATTAATATTTGATAAACCTTAAAAACAACCCCACACATTCTGCCGTAATAAAGTTAGATGTGTTTTTTTGTTGGGTTAATAAATCACATGACTATAATTTATTTCACTTTTATTATGATGATCATAATTGACCTTCTGCTAATTCGCATCACGTGCACAATTTTGATACTTGCGATGATGATCACGGTGATGACGACGACGATGATAATGATGATGATTTTTGGCATTTATTGATGATTTGATTTGAAGCAATTATTACAAAACAAATCATAAGCACGATACATTTCGGCTAATGCAGCGAATGTGGTTGGGCAAGTGAGACCGCTCAAAAAATAAAACTGTTAAAATAAGACAAACAAATAAGAGACTTCTAGTTACCCTGAATCATGAAACTTCATTAATCCCTGGGGGCCACGTGGTGAATTATCACAATCATAATGATGACATGTATGATGATGATGATTATTACAATGATGTTTGTGACGACAACGATAATAATGATGATGACATGATGTTTACGGTAATTTTCATGATTGCAATGATGTTCAAGACAATGATGAGGAAAATGATGATGATGATGACCATCATCATATTCACCTTGTGACAAGCGAGGGCCACCTCCTGTCGAACTGACCTGGTGCCTCCCCCTCCACCCTCCAACACAGAACAAGTACCAGGGAATGGCGTACGACCTCGTGCACTGGCAGGCATTTGAGATTGGCATCATGGTGCTAATCTGCCTCAACATGCTGACCATGATGATAGAGGCGGACGAGCAGAGCGACGCGATGAGAACGGCACTGTACATCACCAACATCGTCTTCATCGGCATCTTCACCACCGAGTGTGTCCTCAAAATGTTCGCACTTCGACAGTACTTCTTCACGTTCCCGTGGAACGTGTTTGACTTTGCCGTCGTCACCTTGTCCGTCTTCGGTGAGTTCCTCCATCCGCTCGCGTACTGGGCACAAAGACCGACGTCCTAGTCTTAGTTCTTTCGGTAAAGTCACGTAGATATAAAATGAAATTAAAATTAATAAAAATAAAACAATCAAAATCATAATGCAAACAGTGATTTTTATTGTTTTATTTTTATAAATTTTTATTTCATTTTTTACTTACGTGACTTTACCGAAAGAACTAAGAGTATGAATCCTTGCAGTCACGAAAGCTTCAAATCTAGAACCAACGTCCTAGTCCAACGTATCTCCCCCGCTCAAATGAGCTCGCTGAGCATTTGTGTAGTGCATTGTAGAGGGTGGCCGGAACGTTTGTCCATGGGTTTGATGCTAGGTTATCATGAAAACAAGTAACGTAATAGAATTGAAATAGCCTTCAAAATGTAATTTTAATATTGTATATATACATTATCATTTGTGCAAGTTGCATCTCAAAATGCTGGAGAAGTTGTCGACAACAAGATTTTACTTGGATGAAAAGACTCACCGGATTTGTTGCTAACACTGCCTTACAACCAACATTTATATCTAGTAGAGTTAAGATCGGAAGAAATAGCTCTTATTCAGAGGGAAGAGTGAGTGGGTAGGAAGACTGACTGACTTTATGTTCAGTGATTACATTTTACAACTTTAAAGCGGTCAATTGTCCAGTCCTCGTTCTGCAAACTCTGAAGAAGAGTGATTGCCTGAAACGTCAGCCTATGATATATCGGTCTGTTATAAGGCAGTATTAATGACAACCTTGCAATCGTTATGTTGTTGGTGTGTGCTTGTGAATACCATTGCCCATGCAGCAGTCCCTGAATTGTTTGTCTTGTTATTGGTGCTTGCGTTTATTGTTGTTGTTGGTGTTTGTTCGTTGCCGATATTGTTTGCATCGTTTAAAAAAAAACATGTTCAATGATAATATTTGTTCTAACAACAATATTCAAAATTCTCTATTTTTGAAATCATACTGAAACAGTGAAGGTTTTTGTGTTCGTGTGGAGAAAAAGAGACCCAATGTTGGATCCGTCCATTGGTAGTATTTCATTTGTTTTTCGTTTACATACATTTTCTCTCTTAAGTCTTATTTCTGTTTTGACTTATGGGTGTCTTTGAATTTTAAGATCGTTTTTTTTCTGTAAATATTACGATGATACTTCCGTTTGAAAATACATGGTGTCTATGTTCTATGCTATAACCTTATGCTACACTCTCAGAGAGAGAGGCCTGTGAATGTGGGACAAAAATGCAACATCAGGATCATAATCTTAGTTTATCCTGGAGGAGTCCGATGAGCTATGAAACTGTTTCGTAGATGTTCAGTAGTGGCGGGTGAGCAAGTTACATCAACAAACAATGCAAGAGACGCGATATGAGTGCTCAACAGAGATATGGTAAACAAATCACTATACATAGATGTGAATATATTAGAAAAGTACAAATTGCACGAGTGATACATTTGGAAACACAAAATGCAAGCTTGGGCAAGGCACAAAAACAACAACAGTCCCAGACTACACGAACACAAATAGACACACAGTCTGTCAATTACATGGCACATTAAAGCCAAAAATCAATGTCACGTTTTTAAAATTTGTTCACATATCACATGCATGGTTGAAAAAGTATTTGCAGAAATCCTCTTTAAAGGATGCATGACCTTCCCATAACACCCCTCACAATATTTACAGCACATTACCCATTCAGGGTGAATTCACCATACCTGTCACACACGTATAATTAATGTCGAGTCAAACATGTATGTGTGCCAGTTGTCCATTGAAAACGAATGCTTCAACTTTACTTTTGCTCTTCGTACAAACCCCAGCGGGCACTCATGCCGATGTTTAATATTTAACATTCTAAATATATTCATTTGCAATAGCCTGAAAAATGTATCACCACCACTCATATTTAATGTTTGTGCTGAATCTTACCCGACCAACAATGGCAGGAGGAGTGGTTGTTTGGCCTTTTTTGGCGAAACTTCCTTTTGCAAGATTAGTTTCATTGAACGATTTAGAAGTCTTCAGAATTTGCATAACATCTACTTGTATACTTTGACTGGTAGTGTTTGCATTCCTGATAAACAAATGAGAGACGCACTGTTTTAAAGTGTCAAAATTCCATCTGCTTCATTATGTGTTGTAGACTATGGTTTTATGATCATTATGACCTCATACATTTAATTAAGCGACAAATATGGAAAACAACGGCCGACCCTCAAACTGACGGCAGGCTTCCAGACCCTTGCCACGTTCACCCAACAACAGCTGCATGGGGCGATGAATTGGCCAATCTGAAATTTTCATTACCGATACATCAGGCAGAAGAAGAGCTTAGACGTGACCAATTGCAACAAGAACGCTTCTTAAAACTATGACTGTCATGAAATATCTGTGCAAATAATAGACAACCCGTTAGGTAGTGATGTTCTAAAGAAACTGAACGGACAGTCTGCTCACCCATTAAATCCCATGCGGCATGGTGACTTCGCACTCCTTTTGCGATGTTCCCTTTGATTTGGAGTGGCCCATGGAATTGCTGTGAATGGCACCGCAATTAGTCAAAGCTAAAGGGGAATCACGATGAGATTCACCTGTAATAAATTACTGTGAGGGCTCACGCGGGTATGTCACCCCCCCCCTCCCATCCCACCGTGAGCTTCCCTTAACCATGCACACACCAAATGCCTCTCCAATGGCACATGGCACATCTATAACATGTCTTTGAAATGTGGCCATGTCACATGCTGAGGTCTTGTAAATTGTTATTGTTGCAAATAAGAACAACCCAGGGCCGATGAGCCAATGTATCGGATTAAATGTGTGTGGGTTTTTTTTGTTCACGTAATTTCGACTTCATCCGCATAAATTGCATAGCATAAACTTGCACATGATAGCTGGACAATTCAAATTGATGGAGGTGTCCAGGATGAATTTCATGGACAAACAAACAAACACGCAGATTAGCCACGTAAAGGATAGTCAGCTGATTGACCATTTCATGACCTCCTTCACACTAGCCATTGGCTGATAGCGGTGTCTTAAATGAAACAGTAACTTGTGACATGGCAACCAACCTCCTCGAGACTGGGAGAGCTTCCACAGAATACAGCAATAGAGACCTGAAACCAACACATTCCAATGTCCTGGGCTGCCTAATTCAACACCGCATAGCTCACCCCACTGAAGGGCCTCTGTCTCTGCTGGTGAAATTGCATAATCAATTCCATGTATAAAGGAAACTTTTAGACTGCATATGTATGTCTACGTGTCCCGTATTGACACATAGCTATGTGTGTATACATTACATATTTTTTCGTTTGGACGCAGTCTAAATTCCAAATATTACATGTTGTTTCGACAATACCTAACGCTTGCTGTGCTACAAATAATTACGTGCAACAATTAATTAATCGCTTAATGTCGATTGTTTACACGCACGATACGAATTCATTTACTTTTAATCCACCTTGAATATTATTCGTTGAATTATAAAACAAAATAACCCTACGATTAACAGCTATTATAGCATCGAGAACATCTACACTGTATACTTTCTTTGACTAAAAATACATCTTTGCCCATATTTTATTCGGTTACATATTTAATTTTCCCATGATTTACTTTGGAATAATATCATTGGCAGTCTAAAGGCTATCCTAATGTGTGATGTGCCACTGGTGTTGAACTTTTCGCCTGCACCACAAATCTTAAACACCTCCAAAGATCCTACCACACACGGGGGCCGGTATTGATAATGATCAGAATTCAGCATCGCCTTTCCCGCAGAGCGGCGTGTTTCACGCAGCTCCGTGAAGGTGATTGAGGCCAGCAGAAATAGCAATTGCACAGGCCTAGTCAGTCACATCATTGGAACAACACAAGGCAATTCGAGATGCCTCTCATCTTAAACGACCAATGTGGAGCTGCGTTTTTTGGACCAAAGCTCAGTTTGGGGAAACCCTCTCAATGCCCAAGTACTTAACAACCAATCAGCGGTCAGACGGATCAAAAATGTCCCATTCCTCATTGCTGTAGAAGAACGAGACCATGTGACTGAGAGTAATGTTGAGGGTAATAGTAATAACATGGCTCAGTGGCTCTCACCAGGGGCATTTCGAACCCTCAGAAAGCTTCTGACGGAAGGGCACGTTAAGGTGAACTTTTTTTTATCTCACTAAAACACTCACCCCCCCCCCCCCCCTGTGTGGTGCTATTTTTGGTGGAAAGGTCCCCACTGTCTGGCAGATCAATGCATACCGGGGATTTATCGGGGTTCCTTTCTGTTTGTTGGTGCTGTCATTTTGGACTTTCGGTTGGTGCATTGAGTTAATTGTATTCACTAATCTCGATGATTTTTTTTATAACCGTAATCATGATACGCGTTCAATTACGACTATCCTTAATGTTTTCTATTTGCATCACAGCATGATTTTGTTCTCAGCCATCAATGTGAATGAAAACATGAATGTGAGTCGGTCACATACGTGGTCCCAAAAAAGTTATGATTTTCATGTAATATACAGTAAAAAAGTATGTGCATAAAAATGTACAACTGTCTTTTAAGTTCCCTTATTTTTTCATTCATAGCACACGAATGATTTGAAAATATCGATACGATTTGTAAATATGGGCCTCATTAAATGTTAATGACGATGATGTGCATTACATAACTGGGCCTTAATTTCTGCCGCGTCTGTCCTCTTCATTTAACCGTAAAATGTTCCCGTCACCCAGCACACCACGTCCATCACAGCTTTTACTATAGCTGTGACTACTAGTCACGTGCCTACTCGAATATACCAGCAACGTGGAAATTTATTCGGTGACAAAAATTAAGCCACGGTCATGACCAGAGTTCCTCAATCCAGCCCATCACGATGACGTATTTCTCCCCGCCGATCCGAGCACACCCAGAACATGTAAGTGAACAGTGAGCCACGACGGGCAATCAAGAGGGTGGCTTTTTTTTCTCCCTTTCAGACCTCGCGATGGCTGACAACAGCTGGCTGTCCAACATCGTGGAGCCAACTTTGTTCCGGGTGGTGCGTCTCTTCCGAGTTGGTCGCATCCTGCGTCTCATCCGCGGGGCGCAGGGCATCCGCACGCTGCTCTTCGCGCTGCTCATGTCGCTGCCGGCGCTCTTCAACATCGGCCTGCTCCTCTTTGTGGTCATGTTCATCTTCTCCGTCTTCGGCATGTCCAACTTTGGCTACCTGAAGCACACGGCCGGCATCGACGATATCTTCAACTTCGAGACGTTCGGCGGCTCCATGCTGTGCCTCTTCCAGATCACGACGTCAGCCGGCTGGGACGGGCTCCTGGCACCGACCCTCTTGAGCAAGGAGCCGGACTGCGAACCGAACGCCGTTCACGTGGGCACCAACGTCGTGGGCAACTGCGGCAACAAGGCCATCGGCTGCGCGTTCTTCGTGACGTACATCATCATCTCCTTCCTCATCGTCGTCAACATGTACATCGCCGTCATCCTCGAGAACTTCAATGTGGCCACGGCGGAGAGCAGCGAGCCGCTTAGCGAGGATGACTTTGAGATGTTCTACGACATCTGGGGAAAGTTCGACCCCAACGCCACGCAGTTCATCTCATTCACAGAGCTCCCGAATTTCATCGACAGCCTCGACGAACCGCTGCGCGTGCCCAAGCCCAACCAGCTGGCTGTGGCAGTCATGGACCTGCCGATAGTGGAAGGCGACCGCATCCACTGCCTGGAGGTGCTCTTCGCTCTCACCAAGCGCGTGCTCGGTCAGGGTGAGGGCCTGGAGGGCCTGCGTGAGCAGATGGAGGAGCGCTTCATCGCGGCCAACCCCGAGCAGGTGAACCTCGAGCCCGTGACGACGACACTGCAGCGGCAGCAGCAGGAGATGGCCGCGCTCAAGATCCAGAAGGCCTACAGGAAGTACCTGGAGTCGCTGCCGCCCGAGGGAGGGCCCGCGCGGCTGGCGGCGCTACGCGAGATGCGTCGCGCCAGCAAGGCCCGCGACCACATCGCCACGGTGGTCACGGCGACACGTCAAATGGCTTCGGCGGAGGCGTTGAGCTCGTCGGGCGAAGACGAGGGTCTGACAGCCGCCAGCAGCAACGGCAAGATTTCGGAAAGCTCAAAAACTGGCTGAGCTCAGTTCTGCCTTAAAAGAAAGATGTAAAAATAGACGCTGCCAAGAGTGGAGGTTGTGAGACGCGACTGGGATGAGTTCGTTTTTTTTTTTTCGATTGCGCTTACTGACGCAAAATGGTATTTAAACACCGTGCTTATTACTGCAGCTGGGATTGAAAATAAGAATATTAAAATAAGCAAGCTAGTTATCAGTGTTTGGCTGAACATTTTACACATTTTATAACTTTTCCTGGACATTTATATATATAAAAAAACACAGGATATGGGTTAGATAGTACCAAACACTGGAACAGCAGAACACTCTTTAAATACAGGAATTACATGTTTATTTGAAGATGACATCTTTGTGAACAAAATAGAAATAAGCATGTGATTAGTCTAAGACCAGTATCACTTTCGTTTATACATATCTATACAATATGTACTTGTATATCAGCTCATATTCGCTGTATTTAAAATTTAGTTCGGTTTATATTTTTGCCTCTTAGATTCTGTTATTATTTGTGTCATATTCATCATCATCACTATCATCATCATCCCTCATGTGACTTGATGTGCTTCCTCTATAGGCATTGAACAATGACCCAAGATCACGCAGTGACAGCAAAATCAGTCACTGCAACATGTAGCTGCTTGAGATGCAGGTGTTTCCAGTTGCTGTATAAAATCTGAAAGTGCATTGTATCAGCTGTCTGTTGCCATCTCGCTGCACATTTAACCTCAACTCATCATAAATGAGGCAGAAAATATAAATAGCTCGACGTCAAAATAATAAGTGACCTGTGTACCATTTACCTACCTTGTTTTTTAGGTGTGCTGTCAATAAGCTGACTTAAGCTGAGTCACGGCGCTTTGTATTAATAACACAATTTGTAAAATTGCGGTCAGCAGAGAGCAGTATGGCAAAATCCATTGTTATACTGTACTGTGAACCAACGTCTGTGTTCTCCACCTTTACCAACCCGCACTGACCAGCGTGGTAAAGTATGGTCAAGGAAACCCCATGACCTTCATGGCAATGATCACCTGCCATCCAGCAGTGGACTGACGGAAAGGGCCGTGGATGTTCTATAACCCATTAAAATGAGTGAATGTTTACAGCACACATCATGTCACTTGCAGCGTCACTTCTGAGGGTTCAGAGGTCAAGATGCTCGTGAGTGAGTGTGTACTCGTTCATGGTTCTGGACTGTGGAAGCCTAGAGCCTGAGAAAGGGATGGAGGTTGGACGAATGAGTTTGCCCATTTGCTGATCACAGGGAAATTTCTTTCACCAATTAGAAAGTATTTTTTTTGTTATTGCATAACCAACCACAAGGAATGGTTCCAAGCCCATTTACAAACCACCCTCAACTCCACTCAGCCTCTCCATCTCAATTTCCCACCACTCAGAAGACTCTGTCCCATCAGCCGGAATAGCTGTGCTCGAAAAATTATCATTTGTTTTGTACTCTCTTTATCATTATCATCACCATGGATATTTGTTTTCGAATTGCATTAGCATGGTAACAATTGCTATATTTTTTCACGTATGCATTCAATGCAATTTACCCACTTTGAATGTTTAAATGTTTTACCATAAACATTGCGGAGGGAAGAGGGCATTAGGTTTTTTTTTGTGGAGCCAATATTGTATGTGACCTAATGTTTGAAACAGCATTTCAACATTCACCCTGTGTATGTCACTTGACACGATAATGCCTTGGTTGGAGAGAATGTATCAATATAAAGTTCCACCATTTATCAGATACCTGGAAAAAAATATGTTCTTTCAGATGAAATGTTTTACACAACTGATAGTTATTTTAACATTAAATGTAAAATCATGCTGTGCTCTTTTTCAACATCTTATTTTGAGTGCAGCTCCCATATGATAGCACATCTTCGTGTCGTTTCATTGGTTGGACTCGGTAACTACTGAAACCATTCTCTGCTTAATAAATTGATCTCAATGATTTGCTGTGGATGGAACAGCACCTCCTCATGAAATAACAACAGCAGGCACTGTCCCATTTGACCAACCCGACGGACTTAAGGTGTGGCGCAGGCTAAAACTGTTACATGAATAAAAAATAAAATGTAAAATTTTATACAAAAGAGAACATTCTAGTTCTGCGGTGTTTGGGTTAGATTTACGGTGTTGGTGAATGTACATTTTCGTCAAATTGTTGGCAAAAATGTGCCGATGTCTCCATCGCATAGTTGTTGTAAGGTGAACACGTAACCTTCAAGGATCGTTCTTGTAGTATCCCACGATTTAGATTTAGGTCTTCATGCTGGTCGCCAACTGCAACAACGTCTCCTACCCATCACGACCGCCTTCTCACAATTGCATCCACAACACTTGCTTGCCATATTGTATGACAAACTTACACGTTCCTTATGCTCTTCTTTCAGTGATTATTATAATCCTTTGCATGCACCTGATTCAAAATGCCAGAACTGTATATTTTTGGTGGCTTCGAGTGCAGTGGACACATCCAGTATGTAATAGCTTATCAAGAATGCCTCTGAGAATCTTTAACAATTGCACAACATCTTTTAGTTGTGCATATGCACTTACTACTTTTTAATTGCTGCCAATTAGAAAACATATATTTAAGAAACATACCACGCCCTCCAGCCACAATTGTCCCATTGATGTGACTTGACCCGGTCAATATAGTCCTTTCTGTTGATATAAAAACCAAGTCCAATCACAGAAATGTTCTTTTGTACTTACCTGGTCGTACATACACAATAACGTTTCCCAAGCGGGGACATTTTCGTTTACTTTCGTTTGATGTTTGTTTAACTGTTCCATCATCATCAGCCTTGCTCTATCGACTGCTGTACGAAGGCTTCCCCCCAAAACTTTGCTAAACCCTCGGTTTGTCCAGCGATGCATTGTACAGGAGCTCAACTCATCGCTCCATCTGTGCGGTTGACATCCTCCCGGGCACGTTCCCTGCATTGACTGCCACTCTCGCGTTAGCCCCAATCCCGTCTGAGTGACACGTCCTGCCCCCAGAGTCCACCTTGTTGCGTGTGAACGGACAGCCTCTGACGTCACCTGTTTGTTCACAATTGTGTAAACGCATCGTTCTCAAATGTTTAACGCGTCGTTGCCTTCGTCCGAACGTGTATTACGCGACACGTGACCATACTAACCCGTTAAGTAAGCTTCGATACGTCGTGAAACATTAATGCGCCTAATGGATGTAAGATACGTTTGAAAGGAGGCATGCATCATCTCCGCAAAGGCTGTAAACATTTCAACACTCGTGTATTGCATGCGCATTGAGGTGTTCCATTTGCCTGGAGAGAAAAAAAAGTAGCACATCCAATTATATACATGACAGTATGATAAACAACAATAAGTACGCGTGCAGAGAATGTACCAATGCCGTCCATGGGTGGCATTAGGGTTATGACGCTCTTTTTTACATCCTAGAATAGTTATACGCTTTGAAGGTGTATTTAGAATGAGTTGTGCAATTACACGTGCATATGCGATCTGTCCAGGTGATGCAACGGTTGAGCGCGCGGCTCGCGATCGGAGATTTGTCAATTCAAATCCAGGCCAGGAATTGGCTCGCCCCTTCGTGTTTCCGGGGGTCGGTTAAAACGAGTACAAATTTATGCGGAAGTCGGCACTGGTCAACCTCCGCATAGACTCGGCCTGCCCCATAGGAATGTGGAATTTCCACCACTGGCTCAGCGCTGTGCACAGGAGACAAGTTGAGAGAGACACCACCAATTCTGCATTTTGACAGACGATATGTACATTGCTATTGTGTATTGGGTATCCTCATTAATGAGGAGGCAAATCACTTTTCACGGTCACGGTACACGCAAAAAATCGTGCGCAGAAGGATCCATTGTTTTAAAATCCCATACAGCACGATGCATGTATGGTAATTGCACAACGTGACCGCCTGCGGCCAGTAGGGCCGCTACTTTCCCCACACGCACAACGTTTGAAAATATAATTGGTTCTTTCCATGACATTCGTGACATTTCAAAGGTGACGGGTGGGGGGGTGGAGCATTGAACCACAATTCTATTTGTAATTCAAAATTGACACTGACAGGACCTTAATATGTATCAAGTACATTCGTAAATAATTGAGTGTAGAGGTACAGCATTTCGATACAGCGTTCCCATTGATTCATTGACAGCATGAGAAAGAGAGAAAAAGCCGCCCTGAGTGTGTCTTGAACTGCGCTACGATTACGTGGGGAGACCTCCGCTATATAATTGGATGTACGTTGCTGTTTTCTAAAAAGGTTACGTTTCATGTACAAATATCAAATAAATCATGCTGTCACATTGTTTTCTTTCCCCCCAAAAATGTAAAACTTGTCGCAGCTGCAGACGTGAAAATACAAATAAAAAAATTAAACGTCATTTCTACAGAGAACGTTTGTGGCTTACTGTGAGTGATGTGTGCCGCCTATGGATCGATGGCTTTGTCTCGTCTTGCCTCGGCCAATATCAAACATCGCAAGGGCGGCTCAACTGGCACCACTGAAACTCCCCTCCCCAGTTCAAATCCAGGTAGTTACCTGCGATTGAACTGGCTTCTCAACGGTATGGTGTCAACTCAGTCACCAATTTCTGCGCAATTTTAGTTCTCCACTTTATTTATCTCAAATTCCAGCTATGATAATGTATACGTATATGTACGTATATGCGAGGAATAGCGAAACTACACAAATTCTCTCCTGCAGCCCTCTCGTAGCTGGCGGACCTCGACATTTGGCATTTAGCTTCTGAACATATCGCCATTCGCCATATAATATAGAGTAGAATGGATACACCAGTCAGTCGATCGGCAGGTCGTGTCCGGTGGGGTAAAGTGTGGGTTACCCCCACCTAGACCAGGGGTCGGCAAAGCAAAATAACGAAGAGACATTTTTTTGGGGGGGAATTCCGTAAAAAAAGAAAAACTCAATATTTAAAGAGCCGCAACGCTCGTGAATGCGGTGACGGTGGCTCTTTCATAAATAAACGTCACGAAGCAGTCGTTAAAGAGCCACATGCGGCTCCGAAGCCGCAAGTTGATGACCCCTGGACGAAACCAACATACAACAATGGGTTTTACTCTTTCTGGCAATAAAGCAGGTGTTAAGATGATGTTAAGCACCAAACTGAAACCTGTCGCAAGGAATCATGTCTGCATTAACCACACATATTTGTCGTGAACATGCAAACAAAATCCATGCTCTGGTAGTATATGATGATGCATTGTCTTTGAAACTGATTGGTCCACATCGGGGATAGTTTTCTTTAGAGCCTCGTCTCAAACAGTGTTAGACCAGAGGACGTCAAAAGGCGACCAGCACAAAGACAATGCCACTCTCAAGCCATTGAGAGCTCGGGGTGAGCAGCTACATCATGGGAACCCCCTTTGCCAGTATCGAAATATAAGAATAGGTTTTACCAATTCTGGCATTGAAACAGGTGTGAATATTTTTCGATTTAAAGCTTTTGTGACTGCAGGGATTCATCTTCTTGGTTCTTTCGGTAAAGTCACGTAGAATGGAAATAATAAAATAATAAAAATAAAACATAATAAAATAATTCTCACGACGTTTCGGCCACAACGCAAGCAGCCGTCCTCAGGTGGAGAGCAGGTCTGTGTTGAGTAGACAGAGTCTGCAGAGTCATTCAGACTGTCTACTCGACAGACCTGCTCTCCACCTGAGGACGGCTGCTTGCGTTGTGGCCGAAACGTCGTGAGAATAATTTTATTATGTTTTATTTTTATTATTTTATTTTTTCCATTCTACGTGACTTTACCGAAAGAACCAAGAAGAGGTGTGAAGATGTCAAAACACCAACATGAAACCTTTTGCAAGGAAGCATTCACGATGTAAATGTGCTTAATGCAGACATTATTCCTTGCAATAGGTTTCAATTTGGTGTATTAACATCTTAACACAACTGTTTTGTTGCCAGAAAGGGTGCAGCTTATTCTTATATTTTGATGCTGGCAAGGGAGGGCCCATGATGTCGCTGGTCAACCCGAGCTCTCAATGTCCTTAGAGTACATTGTCTTTGTGTGGTTAGCCGTTTTGCGTCCTCTTTTCTAACATTGTTTGAGACCAGGCTCTAAAGAAAGCTGTCGCTGGTGTGGAACAATCCGTGTCAAAGACAATGCATCATATACTACCAGAGCATGTTTTGTGTTTGCATGTTCACCACAAGCATATGTGGTTAATGCGGACATGATTCCTTGTTAAAGGTTTCAGTTTGGTGTTTTAACATCTTAACACAGCTGTTTTGTGGCCAGAAAGAGTCAAGCCTATTCTTATATTTTGATGCTGGCAAGGGAGGTCCCATGATAAACCAACATCCCTGTCGAGGGGCCCTCTAGAACTCCCTCTAGCGGAGGCGCTTCCTCCATCAGTGGCGTGAGCCAGAACACGTGATGGGGTTTCTGGCAGCAGCAGACACGACGAGGCTTGCTGGCTGCTCATTGCCACCGCGCATCAGCTGTTTACGCGCGATGAGTGAATAATTCAACACCGACACTCGGTACCGACTAAAGGCCACTCTTTCTGTGTGGGGGGAGGGGAGGGGGGGGGCTTTACCACACTAATGGAGATGTCTGGAGGGAGAAACGTGACGCGCTTCCCAGCGCGTCTACTCCTCCCGCACTCTCTCGCGACGAGAAGACGTTCCCGCACGCTGGAGGACACGTCCCAAAAAAGCGTGCGCCCAGTGTCAACAATGAAGTCACAAGAATCATGTCAAACGCAGCTACCGCATGGTGAGGCGTATGCATCATGAACTTCTTCCGCACCGTACGCAGCCACCCCTTTGCGGGAGATGCAGCAATAACTACCATGTATTGCTCTAAAATCCGGGATGAAAAATGACTCTTGCAATGCGGAGACTTCGATACGGCAGTCACATCAGACCAGTCATTCCATACCGCCTGTGTCTGCCCCGTGACCTGCCAGCGAGCCTTCGACACTTGACGTGGCCTCAAGGTGCACCTAGCCTGGGACGAACACAGTGGTGGCGTCACCACCACTTACTGGCGAGAGGCCGATTTTTCGTTGTGTTTTTGGTGGGGGGGGGCATGTGGTCACCGACAACGCCGTTCCTGACCATCGATCCATCCACACGATGTTGTAGACGCACGCAGCGAGGTCCAAGCAACAACTGTTTGCTGAACTACGCAGTGACGGAGCAGCTGCATTCGAGCCCGTGTATTTGACACCAGGACCTGCCGTGGAGCTGTGTTTATTGTTATTGTGTTGAGAGTACAACGTTGAAATCGGAGGACGCGTGCGGTTTCTCAATCAACACATGTCGGTGTCGATGTCGACACAGGAGTGAATCTTTGTTCACCGATTGCAATTGGCGTCTTTGTACGAGTGAGCTCTTGGTCATTTTGTTCAAAGAGGATTCCTCCAGTCTCATTGAAGATTCTGATGATTATTTTTCTGATTTGCCGTGCGCGTGTGGGCCGAGCCAGCGTCGGCAACACGCCTTGAGCATGTTTTTTTTTTTATGAAGAATGCGTTGGCCCCTTAGCGGACACACAGGGCTTCAACAACGTGGGTTCTGACCGTCTGTCTGACACCACGGGCAGTGACGGATTATTAATTATTCTAGGAGCAGAAGTAGCTACATATGTAGTAGATACGGGCCCCGCACTTTCAACTGTCCCACGCTAAATGCTTTCAATTTATAAATTCCGGTTCAGTGATTCTGCACTTGCTCTATTACTATAGTACTATACTGCCTTCAACTTTTTTTTTAATGAACGACTGGGTGTTTAAGATGAGCGATTTGTCGTATTATCTGGCTGTATAGCAAATGAAAAAATACAATAACTTCACTATGCAAGTTGAACATTTCTGTTTTAATATTTATGTTTTTATTTTATGTAGGACCCCTTTATAACATATGCCACAGGCCCCGCACTAGCTTAATCCGTCACTGACCGCGGCTACGGCTCGGATTGTCGCGTGAGCTCCCACCCCCCGTCTCCCGTCCCACCTCCACACACACACACACCTGTGTAGGCTCGGTGCACACAGAAGGAACCCGTTGATTAAGGGTTCCCAGTCGCGGCGACGAAGATCGATGATGCCAGATGAGCGCATTGTAGGATCGTCCACGAGGAAAGCGGTCCCCATACCTGTCAACCCCTTATCAGTGCCCCCACCTTATTGCAGACCAATTCAGACCTTATTGGTCACCCCGTGCCCTTATAAATCTCAACGTTCATCATCACAAAGGAGAAACACAAACAAATAGACAAAAACATGATTTTTTTGCCCGTATTTAAACGGCTGTACGCCGTATGGACCTGTAAACTCAAATTCCATGTAGAAGAATTCTGGTAAACAGTATGGGTTAATAGCTATGGGGTTGTAGGGTCGTCCATGAGGAAAAAGGTTCCATTATTGACGATGAGAGAGAGAGAGAGACACTCCTAGCGCCAGCACAAAGACTCTAAGGATGGAGTCATCGTACTGAAAGGAGCCGTTGAATGCTGCTGGGACAAGTGCTTGTTTGTGAGCACCTATTGGGGCCGAGCTACACACGAGGGTAAGGTGTGGCCAGCGCCACGCCCGGCCACAATTATCTCTTCGGGGTTGGAGCTTGCACACCTCATCAAAAACACTGGTTCGCTGTAAGGCTGAGTCGACCTCGGAGAGGCACAACAAGAATGCAGATGTCACTCACAAATGATGTCCACCTTGACCGGGAATCAAACTGGGGCGACCGGATTCGTAGGGCAAGTGGTCCTCAGCGATGGCACCACTCCACATATGAACACAGATATGATCATCGGTATGAGCACATGATCACATGGACATATGAACTGGCACATGAACACATGGACACATACTTAAACGAAAGGAACTATCACGTGAACACATACTTAAACATATGTACTGTCACATGAACACATGATAATAGGAACTAGCATATGAACACATGCTTAAACATAGGAACTGTCACATGAACACGTGAACACACTCGAATACTGCCGAGAGGAATATTCACTGTGGATGAGAATGAAATAAGCTCGCCTGCAGTTCATCGGTGCATTATCACATCCAGCAGTGGACCGATCATGCTCGATGATGATGATGTTGAACATAGGAATGTGCACGTGACGATGTGAACACACACGCGAGTACACGCGTACGCATACAACGAACGCCTGGTCTAACTGAAACACGTGCTGAGGAAAACATTACACATCAAAGTCGTATTCGTTCCCCCACAACGTTGATTTATTTTACACTAAATATTGATGCGAGCACATGCCCGCAGAACTGAATACTGTATAAGACGAAATGACCAGCTAAACTTGGGCCTCGCCGATGTAAGTTATGGCAGC